CGTAGGTAAGTACCGCATGTGGGTGGTGCTGTTGCTCGGTGGAGATATTATCGGTCCGGTACTACAACTGCATTTGTTCCCACGTGGAATGTAAGATCAGAGAAAGCTAAACGCGTATACGCGTTTTTAACGCGGTTTTTTCGTCGTTTTTCAATTCACCTCGGGAAAATTTCAATGCGGAGATCGCAGCTGCATTCTACTTCGACGGGTAAATGCCGGTATAATAATGTGATGCAAGCAATCATAACTGGTTTTAATCTCGATTCGATCGGATTGATTTAATAGCGGAAATAAGAAAAATTAGATTGATTTTACACATCGCTTTACGCTAACGATTACTTATATTAGGTACCCCAATTTTAAGAGAAGTTTAACTGTTATGTAAGTAGCAAAAAGTGCTACGTGAAGAAGACTTTACGAAGGCACTGTATAATAAAATTCGCGATTAAACTTTTCAAATCATGGGTATTGAACGGAGCCAGCATAAAAAGAAAAGAAACGATCGACGTAAACTGTCTGTTGTTAAAAAAATAAACATGTGCCCACATTTAGAACGTTCTAACTATAAAGATCGACCTCCATTTACATTGGGTAAACAGTGATTTTTTCTCAAAAAACCGTCTAAAAATTGTATATTTCATTATAAAACAGATACATCTATTGGAAATATAGCATTACAAAAACCAATTTAACCCGTGTCAACCTTTGACCATTTTAATAAGCAATAGTCTTGTTATCTTAAACAATTTTGTTACATTTCCTACTGTATTTAGTAGTTATTTGACCATTTCAATTTTAAACATCAGGTCTTTAGGTCCGACATCGCCAACGGTTCTAACAGGTCCATTTCGGGTCCTTCCTGCCGGATATCTTAGTGGTTTCCACTCCCTTAATTCCAACGTCCGGTCTCGCACCAAACCGCTAACGCTGTAATCCGATTTTTAGAGGATTTCGTCTCTTCCTTCTTGCTTCTTTTCGTTCCTCGTGACAGGTCATCGAAGACCAAGCCATCGGTTCCAACAAAAAAGGTGCACTGCATAGGCGCAGCTGTTCTGCATACACCGTTTGATCTCTCTAAATAACTATTTTATAACAAATTATACAAATCACTCACATGGAAAATGTACATTACACCTTCACTTAATCGAGTTTAATGGACACTTAACATTTTTATATTACATTAAATCATTCAATCAATCTAACCGTTATAAAAAAACACCTTGTTTTGTTGTAGAAAAAATAACGATGATTATCTATTAAGCACGCTCATGGTATGGACTACCTTCGATGGTGAAAAAAGGGGCACCTGCTCCGAAGGTAGGACGTGATCGTGAAATTGATCCGAATGTGACGTTAGCACGAAAAATATTAGTTTCTACGGGCTTGTTAATAAACGCAGGACGATTTGTTCGGTTCGAAAATTTAATCGTAAAACGCTTTATTGCACCATTAAAGGTTTCATAAAAAATCGCCGAACGTGATATCGCCGATGAACTAATAAGGCGGGCTTCGAATTTTTATTCCGTTACAATGGGAATTGTTGGCTATGTAAAACGGGCGAAAATTAATGGAAATCATGCTGTTTGTTTAATTGCTTGTATCAACTGACTCACCGAATTTGAATTTGAATTATCGCAGTAAATATAAACCGGAAAGAGAAATCAACAGTATTATTAACAACTAATAAGCAATGTCCTTTCTTGCATTTATTATTCTTAACAACAAAATACATCCTTTAGTGTCAATGCTTACGCAAGTCGCTAGTTGACTAGTTTGAAAATAGGTCAATATTTATTTCTTTAGTTGTAATTAAATCATAGTAATAATTACGAAATGTAAATGTGTATGAGTAATTTTGGTAATGAAGTGTACATAATTCGCAATGAAGAATAATCATAATTATATGGTAGTCTTTAAATTTCAAGAGACCTAATAAAAATTTACCGAAGAGCCCCGCAAAAACTCCACTATTTTGGGCGTACAAGAGAAATTGTTAATGCAAGTAGAAAATTATTTTCACCATGAATTGACATCAAGAAAAAAAACACATTTTCCTGAAATCATTAGAACGCAATTCTAAAAAAATTAATGAAAACATCGTTTAAATCGGATATGACCAACAACTTCTTGGAAACCCTTGTTTGACAACGGAACAGCAGGTGTTCCTTTTGTGATTCATCCATTCCTGTCGTTCATGCTTAAACACTTCATTCGTCAAAAACTTCCTTTAAATACCCACTTTATTGATCAGCCTAATTTAATAGTCGCACCTACGGGAATTCCTTCTCCTTCGAAGTTAACACGACCCAAAAGCGCCTCATCGGATATCCGATGGACATTTTTCTATACCTACGCTGAATGGGACTCTTCTAAAAATGAATCAAGTCGTTAAAAATAAAAAAAAAATGTTGCAAAAGCCGGGTCCTCGTGACTACGGTCACATCTGTCGTTAGAAAGGCAAATCACGAGCGAAAAACTACAGTTAAGTCTTTGAAGTGATTGGTATGTGAGTTAGAAATATTCCAGGATTGGGCTCCTACCAATAATGCGATAATGGCGCTATGAGAAAGATATTTTTGAAAAAATGATGGCAATGTTTTAAAGGTGAAATTAAATGAGGATTTGTTTAAATTAGTAATTAGTTGAAAATATGAAAAGATGTTTCACACGTCTCTTCAAATTATGTAATAACTAAATTGTATATTAACAATTATTCGTACAATCAGTTATTCTACATTTGATCGAATTTCAGACTAAAATTTGCATACTTTTGGTTTGGGCTAGTTAAAATATTCAAGAAAAACTACCAAATACGACCCTGAAAGGTTTTTATGAAACGGATCACTCTTCCTGTGTGACATCCTTATTCCCCTTGAATTCCGCAAAACGAAGGTCAAGTTTTTTTACTACATGCCGTCGTGAGTACCTACACGTTCCATTCATTCCGAGTATCGTTCTATTCATAACGATATTTTTAATTCATTGATCCATTGTCGATTGAATTGGACGTGAATATTAAGTAAAAAAACTACAATCGAGCGTGTATGATATGCAAACTTAAAGACACCTATACTAAAAAAATTACAATAGTAGTTTCCCTTTTAAAGGGCATTTCCTGCCCACCACTGTTCTCTAACCCCTAATCAAACAACCAAACAAATTCTACCTTAGGACGTGTCACTTTGAATGAAATCGTAGAAGAAAAGAGGAAAAGTTTCTTCCCATCTCCTGTACAAACAATATTATTTATTTGTTCGTGTCCGTATAGTTACTATTGACACGGCTTTACGCATTTACACGCAGAGAGCGGGATTCGAAGCTCCGGGCTGTCAGAATCAGAAATACAGGTGCCAAGGCCAAGTAAACACACGGTATTTAATATTTGTCGTGCAAACAACTTTAATAACAGTTTTTCAACGGATTCCTCAACTAACCTTCTTCGTGATTTATTACTCGAGTTTCGTCTTATAATGTTAATTGGACGTTTTTTTTTCTTTCGTTTCTTCAGGAAGTCACTAATCGATTGTCTTGACCCTGTCTATCTTAACGACGACTTTTATTTGACGATTCCAATACTAGAGTGTTCGGGAAAAATTAGATAATCAAAAATAATTGTGGCCCACATCCGCCTTAGAATAATCCCGGCTCATTCAAAAATTATCTACGAATGCAGGCAGAGGGCATGGGTCAAACGGGCGCGACATTCGTCGAGAACGTCTCAATTTTCATTCATAAAAATTTATCAGCCTACACTACTCTACCGCACCGTAATTACTATTACATACGGCCACGATGGCCTGACGTTCGCCACATAAATTTCTGATAATGGACAATTTTTTTTTCTTTCAAAGTCGAAACGGACCTCGTAATGACCGTATTATAAACCGGCGAGTAAAATGAGAAACATATAAAATTAGTATTCGTTTCCATACGCTGGATTCTTTCACACATACCTAATTCAGAAACGCTAATACTAAAAGAACAGTACACAAGGTGGGCATCCTTTTGCCGCGCAACGTGATAACCATAAGGTCAACAAATAACATCCGGTTTTGGAGAGAATGTGTAATAATGTTTTTTCATACCAGCCACGCCGTTCGTTTTCGCCAACTTTAAAGTTGAACGCCAAAATAAATAAAAATTTTCTGCTTTACTTATTGGAATTATACGTACTGATTGAATAGAAATTAAAATATAATAATTATGTAAAAATTTACACATTTTAAATAGACATCAAAAGATATTTTTAGTTTAAACGTAGATATGCTAGAACTATTGAATGCTAATTAAATTTTGATGTACAATCACTGACAATCCATTGAACTTATAGGTATATCGCTCAATTCACAATGAATTTCAGAGTGATTGGTCAAATAGACCTTAATTGATACTCTAAACTAAATTGAACTAAACTAAATTGAAGTTTTATGCAATTAATCAAGGGTAACATATACACAAAAAAATATTAAAAGTACAGAAAATCACGCTCAGTTGTTTATTAGATACTTTTGGTGGATATTTTATTGTTAGTTCTTAAAAGAAAAGTATTTAGATGGATATTGAAGAACAGATTATATAAGAATATTTTTAAAATATCAATTAAAAGAAAGTACATGAGATTTTCAGATATTTAGCGCATATAAAATTATATTAATGAAACAGTACCTAATTGTTCATACACCCTGTACCAATGTAACACGAGTTGTCTAACTTAAGGGACATAAATATGTCTTTTTTTCAATAAATTGACACTTTTGACACCTGTCAAACCTTAAGTGAACCCCGTATTTTCAAAAACAATAGCATTCTTTATAATAAATTAGAGAAAAACATTACATTTTTGCACGTGGAAAATTTAAATAAAGTGGCTTTTTTTTTGTTTAAAAAACCTTTCAACAAAACCCTCAGATCTCACCCTCTGACTATTCTCACAAGTAACTAACTTCACTCGCCACCTTAACATATGTATTTGTTCAGAAAAATAGCAAAATTAACCTTACCTTCATAGCAAAGGGCAATAAAATCATCCGCGCTTTTCCTTTCAACGTCCCACCGCAACAGCCAATTTCCATCGTCCTGTCGCTTGGCGAAAATCCTGCCGCAAACACCGTCATCCGAATTTTCCGATCGTTTGTCAATGGGGTCGAAATTTTCGACGTCTTCGACGCCGTTTTCTCTCGCGGAACATTCCGATAGCCGACGTTCCTCCTCGCTCGGCGACCTCGAAGCATCGTCGAAATTTTCCTCGTCAATTTCCCGACCGTTGATTTCCTCCATGTTCACGGCCCGACGCGATTTACATTTTTTTTCGTTAGATCCGTCGTCGCATCGAGATGGTTGCTATGGCGACAGACTTTCAGGCGACTCGATCTAATGCGGATTTCACGGATTTTCGACAACCCGTTTACGGCACATACCATTCTTTTTTGTGTTTTACTTACACATCGGGTCCGGCTGAATGTATGGGTTGAAATGGGCGATTTTTTCACGTTACACGAACGACGCATACGCCAAACTTAGCCGTTAAAGTCACTGCGATTTCGCGACGAACGCGTTCAAAACGAACATCTCCTCTCAAATCGCTGGTAATAATAAAAAATAAACATTGTTGATGATTTTGCTCGTAAAATTAATTCATAAACAGCTGATAATGTTGACTTGACACCTGACAGCGGTTTGACATTTGACTTGACAGTTTTGCACAAGTGTTCTATGATATTCACAGAGGCACTGGAGCGCACAATTAGGCAACCATTTTTACAAGAAACATAAATACTGCCGCCTCCTTTTATAAGGTAATACCAATGATTAATAATAATTATAAGTCAATCAGTTACCACTCCGACTAATATACTAACGGAAATGGCGTAGCGATCAAGAGCTTCATATTTCTTTAGCTAAAGTCTAAAGGGAAACGATTAATGTTAGGACTAATCGTGTGTGTACTTGCTCGCGCATTCTTTTATTTAAAATTCGATTTAAATAGGTAGAGGTACTAGCATAGTTTTAACGCTATCTCACTCCCTCTCTAGCGTAATTATAGTAGTCAAATAACTCACTCTCTCGCACTTGTGTTATTTCCATATCCACATCTCTGTAGACCGGAAAATTCTATGCAGAGGTTGTTCTATGATTCTATGTCAGCTCAATAATACGCAGTATTTTTCAATTTCCAAATCGAATCCGTCATTAAAAATAGCTAAGTTTTAGCAGATTTTAATCGAAAATGATGAAAGCGAAGAAATCAGAAAGATTAGTTTTTCCGGTAAGAATTTTCTCCAGCGGACTAAGCCGGAAAAGCGGCCAATAAATGCGTACATTTTTTAGAAAGAAATCGTATACAATCCGAAAGTTAAAACCGGAAACTGGTTCGAGGAACAATTCCATTATGATAAGAACAAATACGACCACAACAGCGAATACTGCAGGGAATTCCAAGAGAAACCGATGAGCAGCGTTCCTCGAAACGAAAGATGGGACATTTTATTCAAACATGAGGTACTTTCTCAATTTAATCCACAACATTCCCATCTACACAAGTCTTCTGATACTCCATTATTTCCCATTCGCCTTTTAAATACTCTTGTATAGTTTTCCCGCATGTTGAATTGTTACTTAGCGCGATTTGGCTCATTCTATCCAGTTCTTTACCAAACATTGGTCTTTGATTTGCCTTTGTAACAGTCACCATGTTTCAACAGGGCTATTTGAACGTGTGCCCACCAAAATACGATGACAACTCACCGAACTACTTCGATAATTTCGCTTCTTCTTACGCGCTATCCTACAGCCATTTTCCGAAGATAGCGCCCGTCATTAACGAGGCGGATGTGCCGAAGGTGAGGAGACTGGGAAAAGCCCGGCCCGTGCTGGAAATGATAGACAGTTATGTAAGTAACGGTTGCAATCAGCGTTGGATGGTATATAATCGATTAGCTTTGTAGGGTAATGTAAATGATTACGGTCTTAAAGATATAGTAAGGAGACATGTGGCTTATGAAGAAAAGGCCAGCAAGAGATCGACCTCTTTGAGCACGACTGAAGTCGACTTTGTGAAACCTATAGAGGATGGTTATGTATTCTGCAGAAGGTATAAATTTGTTTGTTATTTAAGCGGAAAATAACGCTTTGATTATAGGCCTAGGTTTAGAGCGATAAAGAAGAAAACCGCGGATGTCTATCCGCCTCTGACGCCCAATCATCCCAGGTTTTCCGATTATGATATCATCACGTGGAAACGTATAGACAGGGAAAAATTGGCGCAACCGCCTAATGTCGAGCTAGATTGCTGATGGTTGTAAACACAATTTTTCGCTAAAGGAATAGAGGAAATAGAACCTGGAAAGAAAATAGTCCGGATTAATTACATTTATTAAACACATGTATCCTAATATATCGAAAATAAAAATATTAACTGTCGCGTTTGTATATTGCTAAAAAAAATGCATTTTTAGTAAACGGCAGTGCACACGTTACAATTAATTTTACATCATTGTAATAAGTAAAAGATTTCGAGACATTTCGATTAATCTATTTAGTGTTTTATACAAACAATTTTTTTAATAAACCAGTATAAATGGCACACAAACTGAAATAAAAACAATGTCATATTCTTAAATACTAATCAACCTTAAGCCTACTAAACGTAGATAGTAATTTGACCAATATTTTTCTCCAAACATAAATACCAATAAAATCAACAAAAAAATAATCACAGAAAAATAACATTTTCAACAAAATGTTCTCACAAAACAGTACTTATATTTGGACAAATATCAACAATATATTTAGTAAATGAACCAAACAAACGTGCAGTTAATCGTCTAAAACCGAGGTTTTCGAAAGTTCTCTTTTAAATGCAAGTTTTTAAATAAAGGGCTAATCGGTTTTTCGTTGAATAAATCCGCAGATTTCACTCTCCCGGCATCTGCGTTCGCCTTTTCAAAGAACGAAGCATGAGAATTCGTGCTTCTCACGTCGAAACTCCTTATCGAATTGTTGCAGAAACCCTGCTGTGGTACGCCGTTTTGTATAAAAAGCATGCTGTTTTGGTTCAACACCGGATAGAACGTGTTATTTTCGGCTTTATAGTACAACAGGGACGAATTAGGCGAAGTGTTATTAGCATTAATGGGAGTAAAATGATAAGCAGGTTCGGATAAAATGGAAACCCTGTCGGCCTCGCCGTTGATAGAAGGCTCCCGCGAGGCGGGTAGCGAGCTAAACGGATGGTTGTTTAAATTGTCGAGAGTCGACCCGAATCCGGAGCTCTGGCTCGACGACCGGCTCAAGTTTGTGGATGGAATATTCGCCGGAAAAACGGTGGCGTCGTTTTTCCAGAAACCACCGGCGGTCCAGGGATTTTGAGTGACATTTCCCAATTTCGCTGGCGATAAAATTGACCGTTTCACTGAATAATTAGGTGAACTGCATCGTAGTGAATTGTGTCCTAAATGCAAATTATCTAAACTGCTGTTAAGATCGCTACTAATATTACTAGAGTTTCTGTATAAATCTGAGGTAGATGTTGCGCTTCTGGCAGTGTTCGGAATTAAGTCCTGCTCCATTGGAGAATATGGTCGATGTATCGGGGATACTCTTGTAGTTCTGGGAGCTGTCGCCTTGGATTGGCAGGAAGCGTTGAAGGATTGAGCTGCATCTTCGTCTGTTTCCTCTTCAAACGATTCCGCGTGGCTGTTGTGCTTGGCTAGTTTCTTAAATTGACAGTCTTTAGTCTTGGTCGAATCAGTCGGTACGATCCAAAAATAATAGTACAAAAGTGTTAAAGTTACCATTAACTGAAATTTAACGAAAGATTAATTTATTTGTAAATTGTATGCGAAAGTTTATTTACCTTTATAGAAGAAATATAAGCTGCAAAGGTGTCATTAAGAGTAATTGAAAATGTTGATAACAACAAAAACCATGAAATCTGACCGATGGCTTTCCATAAAATGTATCTTTTTTGTCCCATAGATAAGATCAGATCCAGAAGCCATCCAATGAGCGATAAAACAGTAATGGTATTTGCTTGAATATGAATACTGCTTGGTAAATACATCTTCAAGAACCCAACATTTTTTTTCAGTTGTTCAAAATTGTTATGTAAAACGTTAGAAAAATTGACGAATATCGTTTCATAAGGAATGAACACATTTGTTTGCATGTTTTGGACCAAATGCAAATTCGGGTATACTATTCGAATATTCAGAATGTGACACAAGATTGTAATACTAATGATTATTAAAATGTGTCTTAGAAAGCCGAGGAAGTTGTTTGATTTTTGTTTGTTTGTAAGTAGAGAAGCTCCTTTTCTACGAATATCTTTCAAACGCTTTCCAAATAACCAAGAATGTTGTTGGTCGATCTTCGACTTTAACACCTTATTACATTTTTTGCACAGCTTGTAGACCTTTTCCAACTGTTTCCTAAAAATAATACTGCTCGTAAAGTATCAAAAACACTTGCAAAACCACTTACTTAAAATGCTCGATTTCCAAATCGTAATTTTCCTCTCTTATTGGCGCGAACTTGGCCAATTGGTGAATCTTCAACTGTTGATTGTTGTTACAGTAAGTACACAGTCCGTTGTCGTAAGTTTCAATGTTTCGATGGGAGTATTTAACAAAGGAGGTTTCGTGTTGTGCTTCGATGACTTTGTTGTAACTTCCGTCCGGCTTAAATCCGTTGTATTGTAAACAAACTGGACACTCAAAACTGTTTCTGCTCTCATATCGAACTTTTGACCATTTGTTGCAGAACCAACAATTAACGCTTATATAAAATCCATTCCTGTTGAAAAAAGTTACAATTATTCTTTTTAAACTGATTCCAACGAACAGTTTGAATGAACAAAAGACTGTTGTCCATACATAATAAATAATAGGGCATAATAATGAGATGAAAATTTATCCAATTTCATATTCTCTTATAAATATTCAAGGTTTCGTACAAAAGTTCTTACCGCTTTATTAAGTATAGGTTAAGTATCACTAAAAATGCAAGTAGAAAAGCAGCCAGCCAAAAACCGACAATAACTAAAGTTTCGAGGAACAAATTCATCACTACCGATTAATACTAACATAAATAATAAATTTACTTTAAAAACTATTAAACTATACTAAAAACTAGAAAAATAGGCCGAAAAATTGTCGGCCTTACACCACCACTTGCACTCAAACTAAACATAACCTGCATTTTTCTTCTTTTTAAAAAACCACTTAATGTCAAAATCAACTGACAATTGACAATTAAATTCTAATTAAAAAAGAAGAAACTATTTTATAAACATAACCTCAAATAAAAACAAACCAAAACTAAACAAATTAACTTACTTTTCATTTAATTAATATGAGTCTACCAACAGATTTCGGGCCTGATTCAGGTGGCAGAATGAAGGTAAATGTTTATATTAACCAATTGCTGAAAATTTCTATTAAAAAATTTCACAGGGAATAGTGATAGTCAAGCCAATAGTATACGGAAACATAGCAAGATATTTCGGCAAAAAACGCGAAGAAGACGGTCATACTCATCAATGGACGGTATACGTTAAGCCTTACAATAACGAAGACATGTCGACTTACGTTAAAAAAGTCCAATTTAAATTGCACGAAAGCTACGCCAATCAAAACAGAATCGTTGTTAAACCGCCATACGAATTGAGTGAAACGGGTTGGGGGGAATTCGAAATTGTCATAAAAATATACTTTCACGATCCTAACGAAAGACCGGTAATTATTACTGTACATATAACAATATTATAATTAATTACTTAACCGTAGGTAACAATGTATCATATACTGAAATTATTTCATTCGGGAAGTACACAGGATATTGGTATTGAGCAGAGTAAAGGCTTGGTGTCTGAGAGCTACGATGAAATCATATTTCAAGATCCCACACAATTAATGCATCATCTGTTGACGAATACAAAGCAATTATCGCTGGGAAATTGGGAACATAATACCAATTGTAAGTTTGCTTAATATTTATTTCAATTCCAATACTCTATTTTACACAACAATAACATTAATTAAAAGGGTTAATCTTAGCAAGTTTGAAAAAAACATCGTATTACCAGAATACGTCGTTAACAAATATAGTACTATAATCGATGAAGCTCATTTTGAAGTTCGGGTAGAATTTATTAACTTTCCTGTGCCTTCTTGCGGCTTTGGCAAGAGAATTTGTGTTATTAAAGTTTATGGATCGCCTTAATTTCCTCTTTCCCATAATATTTGAAGCATGTGGGATTTCGAAAATCGTTTCCAAATTCTTGGATTGCTTTATGGTTTTATCAGTGTAAATTTTCAAAATATTTTCGTCTGTGTTGAAATCTTTCTCATCAATGTTGTGATTTTCTTCGACTTTCGGCTTTGTTATACTTTTTTTACTTTTTGAATTTAACTTGGTTTTGTTCTTTAAAGTAAAAACTTCTGTGCCTTTAGTCGGTGCTAGTGCCTTATTGTTTTTTTTATTGGACATAATGGGAGAATTAAGTGCTAACTGAAAGTACATATTACTAGAATTTGGAAACTAAACCGTTTTAAAATTCAACTTACCTCATTAAATTCTACACTTAGAATAGATTTTTCTATAACATAGAATTCATTAGTTTCTTTAACTGTTTTATCTCGTTTTTGCCGTTTTTCTTTCTTTCTGAAACTTGTTTCTGGCGCCCCAATGCTAGCAGGCCTTCCTATGCTGTGTTTTTTGAAACATTCGGGTTCAAATAAATTCGAATATCGTCTAAATTTCCTGATTCTCTCTTCATCATTCATTTGACTGTCCATTTCAATATCTTCTAAATAATATTTATGAAATGTTATGACATAAATATAGCGTTTAAACAACATGCATCTCTATAGAAATTTATAATAATTAAATGTGCCTTCTTTTCTAATTATTGTATGCTGTATATTGCATTTTTTTAGTTGAAGAGAAAAAAGAAAAAACTTTGAAAACCATCTTAGAAGCCAAACAAAAAGTAAGATCCGAAATTGCCAACTTAAAAAACAAATTAAAACTAGCCAAGGAGACTATATCTTCATTCAAAGAGGAAATCGCCAAATGCCAGGAAAATCAGTTCGTCATTTAAATAAACGCTAGAGTAACTTTTAATTCTTCGATTTATCGAAAAATTTAATTATAATATAAGGAATATTGTAATACATTTAATTAAATAGTAAATAAAATATTTATATCTTAACCTACAGAAGAGGTAATAAGTTCGGCTATGCTGTCATCGGGTGATCTTACAGTCAATTGCATTGTAACACCATCCGCCAAAGCAAGTTTAGCTCTTACCAAAATATCGATACCACCTCTAAAGACTCCTGTAATATAAAACCAAACGTTACCAAATTGTTATACAAGACCTATTCTAAACCTTACACTTATTCGTAACGTACTAACCTGATAATAAAAGGGTGTGGGTGCTCTTGCCTTCAGGGACTTTATCAGTTCTTTCGGCCGGTTGCAATCCAAGGAACTGCACGATATTTTTCACAGCTTCGTCCAACGTATTCATTGAACTTAGAGAATATGTATCCTCCTTTTCTACGGAACTCTCAGCAGCCGTTTCCCATGCAGCGCCCCAATTAACTTTGCTCACTCTCTGTATTTGATCGCCCAACGTTATTTCCAAATCTTCGAGTATGTATTCATCATTATATCCTAATAAAACACAAGAAACAGTTCGCTTAGATATGTATAATTAACTACGTAATGTTTATTTACCTTCTTCGCTATCGGGAATGCCAGTCGTAGGATCGCAATCTTTAACGATAAACTTCAACACCGCCCCGAACGTACCGACGCAACTCGGCAAATCGTCGTCGGGGAACTTCAAAATGGCGTAGGTGTGATTGGTCTCGTTGTAATGCAGCTGCTTGCACGGTATCACCGACAGCAATTCGAACCCTTCGCTCGGCTCCAGCTCCACGCGCACGTCCTCCAGCAATTGATCGGGCAGCGTGTTCAGGCAGTCGAACTGCAACACCACGTGATGGGCGAAGCAGTGCTTGATGCACCGCACGAAGTACTCCGTCTCGGATTCGGTCAGCTCCACCACGTCGGAGCTCTTGAAGATCGGACCGAGCTGCTGGATGCCCGGTATGGCCGACAGTTTCTCCGCGAAGTTCTCCTCGCGCGAGACGGGCGGCGGTCGCAGGGGCCCCTGCGACGTCAGCATGCCTTCGGATTTGTGCTTCTTCTCGCGCTCGTCCGGAGACGGGCCCACTTGCAGCGGCACTGATTTTATATCGAACGGTTGATTCGTAGAGTTCTGCGTGTACTCCTTCAACGAGCGTTCTAACCCTGGTATAGATACCTAAAGATAGTACAATCATTAGGAAAAATCATTTTCTATTGAATCTAGATAATAGAGTACCTGTAAAGTATCAAGGATAAAGTTGTTGTACAAGTTTTTATCGTTTTTGCTAAGTATGCTGCTGTAATAAGTGGCTCTGTCTCTGACTTCATCGTCAGAGTCCATTTGGCATCTGGCTAGTAATACTTGAATATTTTCTAACAAATCGGGACACGAGGCTCCGAATTGGGCCATGGCAGAAACAGCGGCTGCTCTTATAGAAGGGCACTCTAAGATGACGCGGTTGTAAATGAAACGGATATATCTACAATATCGAAATGTTAACAAACGTTACTTCGAACTAATTACAGATTTAATTACCTGGAAGGTTGTTTGGTTTTCGGTCCTTCTCTACCAAGCAGATGCAATATTCTAACAGCTAAAGAAACGTGTTCGCAATCTTCAATAAACTCGCACAGATGAGCCAAACCTGCAAATTATCAAATTACTCCTTCAATTAAAACATAAAAGATGTGCTAATAATTACCCGATTCTTTAGCTTCAGGATTATCCTCGATAATGGTGATTATGGTGTCCGCAATGGAAGCTTTGTATTCCAAACCGCCTTCATCTCTTAGCATGGCCGATAAAAAGTTCATGAGAGTGTTGTGCTTTCGAGGGAATTTAAGAGCCAGCGCTCTGATCGCTTGGACTACCACGACTTTGAATTCATCGCTGATTTCAGATACGAAACTAGCTATTTGTTTCATAAGACGATCAACTGACGATTCAGCACCAGTTTTTAATAAAGTAGTGATAGCAAGCGTGGCGATCGATCGATTGGAATCGGTAATCAAATTCTCCAAATCTAAATTACAAGCCGTGACGGCGGCCGGATGGGAAATGGCCACTTGGTTTAGAGTTCTAACGGCGGCGAATCTCAAAGTGGCCTTCGGTGAACCGCAGAACAATTGTAATACACTCACAGCCGGCGCCAGTTCCTTGCTAGTGGTACGTTTGAGATTGACGATCGCGTGGGCTGCCTCGTAAACAACCATCTCAGATTTGTGCCTCAAACAAGATTCGATGAAATCGAAGTAGGGAAAATCGTTGCCGGAATCTTCTTCTTCGAGGAGCTTAGCTATTATTCTGATCTAGAAGTTTGAACGATATTTAATGAAATGTAACTAGATTGGTTATGAATAACTTACAAGCATACAAACAGCATATGGAGATTTTAAGGTAGTTCTAGTTAGTTTAGCTATTAGTTTCGTAACAGCCAACCTATCTGATTTTCTGATGTGATACAGGAGCCCCAAGGCATGATATTGCACCATCACACTGTAATAGAAATAACTCGTAAATATCCATTAGAGTGAAATTATAAATAACCCTTACTTATCGCTGTTAATAGCTTCCTGTGCTTCGTTCACCCATCTTTTAACCACCTCAGGAGCCATTTTGGTCATGTGCAAAGAACTGACCAAGGCAGCTGAACTGACAGCGGAATTTCTATCGACGATTGCCTGCTTCATGTATCGTTCGATGGCTTGCAGCATGGTAGCATCGGTGATGCTGCACAAGGCACGTATAGCAGCTGCTCTGTAAATGTCTTCTTTGCCCGTCATATCTTTGGTGAGGCTCGAAGTAACTATGATTACATCATCTGCGGTCGAGCTGAGTTCTTTGATTCCTAGATACACCATTCTTCGAAGGACTACGTCTTTCGATTGGAACAGTTTGGTCATCGCGAAGAAAACATCTGTGGCTTCTTTCACGTTTAAAGCTTCACCCTGGAATTATGTTGAGTTTTAGGGGGGTTTGGATTGTTATAAATGTATTGTGATTTACCTGGTTTAGTAGGTAAAGCAATTTGGTGAGAATTAGGGTGCATTTTCTTGGATTGACGGATGTTTCGTTAAACACTCGAGCTTCTTGCAAAACAGTCGTTTTTTCGATGTTTTGAAATATATTTCCAACTCCTACGAAAGAAATATATGAGATTTGAAATTTTTGAGCGTCGATTACTTACCATCTTCTTCCTCCTTTTTGTCTCTCTTAAAAGAGCTCATTTTTATAGGATATATTTTGAAAATTGGAATATTTTTTACACGTCACAGTGCCCGGTTGTCAAAATTGTGTGGCACGTCAAAAGTCATTTTACAATGACGTTGGTTCCAAAACTAAATATCCCTAGATTTTATTGACATTTCATTGGACTTTACAAATTCTATTCAATTACAACTAGGAAATTGTTAAATTGCGTATGAATTTGTAAAATGTTTTAGCACCTTTATATAAAGAGTGTGAAGTTTAGTAGAGAAGTTTAAAAAAATCCCTAAATTGTTACCAACCTAAATAAAAATTACTCATATGTCATTGTCATTTTGTAATCAATGAAACTGTCATTCATCGACACTACACAAAAGCACAACATTCATTATGTCATTGGACTATCAAACAGAAATGTCTCGTTTGTATAAATTAGCTCAAAAATTCAACTGCTTCTATTTGTCAGGTAAATGTAATCGTATTACATCATTTTATAACGATTTTTACCACGTATTTCATTTAAAATTCGCACGTAAACTCAATTTTAAAGCAGTAATGGCTACTTATTGATCTCGTAAGATACACCCATGCACTTTTTTTAATGTTGATTTCATTCAATTTCCAGGACTGGGATGTCCCGAATACAAGCCTTTCTTCGTCGAAGGCTATCAAGTCGGATTGGTCCGCCCTGATGTTATGAAACAACTACTCAAGTACCCGGAAGTACGATTGACGAGCCCCAAAATGCGATTAATTTTTAATTTTTCTTCTGCGTTTCGCCTTTTAGGTCTTCATGGTGGGCCCCAGCGGCGTCGAATTAAATCCGGCCTTCAGGGACTACGAGGAGAGAAGCAACCAGGTGGATAAAGTTCTGAAAGAGTTGAGGAAAGAGAACGTTTTCATAGCTTTAAAGGGCTGGCGAGATGAGGTAAGGCAAGTCTCTGTGTACTATAAAACCCAGCTGCAAAATATCTATTTTTCATTCCTTATTTATCATTAAAAGTGCTAAGAATGTACGAAATGTTTCTGGAACAATTCTATTTAAATAATTTTTGAATATATTTGAAGTGTAAAGTTCAATGTAGGTAACAATTAATTACCTATTCCAGTTTAAAAATACATGAAATTCATAATTGCGAAACTCATTTTTTTAAATTGTATAGTATAATTTCACAACTTTTAATAGCTACTCATATATTAAAACAGTGTTTCTATCGTTCACATTTAACCTTGACATTTTCAATCTAACAAATTATCAGATTTTATAATCATAAAAATTTACTTAAATAGAATCATTTTGTAAATAAGTTAATTAAGTTTATTTAATTCAGCTATTTTAAAGCTTGGAGGAAATGAAAACCTGATAATTTCTAAATTTACCATCTAGAAACAGTAACCAGATATAAAATTATAACTCGTGTAACGTAAATATTTGTATTTTTATCACACAACCCAGATCTATTATATTACAATTGGCCGTTAATAATTACGTTGATAGTACCTGTAACTCGAACAATTAGCTATTCACAGAAATCATCCAATTAAATATTCATTTACAATCTTATCAAAATTGTTTCAAAGAGAAAATTAGTTTACAATCCGAGCCATTGATATTTCAAACAGGAATTTCTTTCGACTCTTAGAATCCATTATTGAATTAAAAATAGACCATTGTATGTTGAAATTTAATTATTAATTAGCTTCTATTTTCATCCTTATATTTTTCTATTTCCAGAATTACGAGGTAAAAACAGATTTTCTCTCGAAGAGCCTACTAAAGATGGATAGATGCGCCACCTGTCTGTTTGGCATTAGAAATTACGGTGTAGACATAAACGGATACGTCAGACATCCAACATTAGGTATTAATAACTAGTTAATTAAACGATTAATTAAATTTTTTTGTCACCGTTACCTTGCCTGTAAATTAATTTAATCTAGGCTATTAAAACGAACTAATCCCTAAGGTCAGACTAACCTACACAGTAACTCATTACATTTGAAGGTCTGTGAGCTGTTTAGAGCTCATCGATTAGTATTTAAAGGGCGTCAATTTACTCAAATGTAATCGAAAAGTAACATTAATATTTTTTACAGGGCTTTGTCTTTGGTTTCAAAAGAGATCACCTACAAAACAAACATGGCCGGGTAAGTAATTACAGGCAGTAATTATTGACAGCAACGTCACAAAGTACAGCTATTAAGACCTCTAGCTGAAGCTGAGTATTGACGTTATTGTTAAGAATTGCAGCTATTTGGTATAGCACCATCTAGAGCTTTGAGCGAGATTCTAGTCAAATTAATTATTAAGGAAAATGGGATAATATGGTCGGAGGAGGCCTATCCGTGGGCCACGGAATCCTGGAAACGGCGCACAAAGAGGCGATGGAGGAAGCATCCATACCGGAACATCTACTATGTAATCTAATAAGCGCTGGCTGCGTATCGTAAGTACCCGATCGATGTCGAATTGCTTTGAAAAAGCTACATTATTTGGGTTTATTTCGGTAGATTTTTCTTCGAATCCGAGCGAGGCCTCTTCCCCAACACCGAGTTCGTGTTCGATCTGGAGCTTCCGGTGGACTTCGTGCCCGTTAATTCCGACGGTGAAGTGGAGACGTTCGAATTGCTCCCCGCCAGTCAGTGCCTCGAGAAAATGCTGACCGCCGATTTCAAGACAACGAGCACGCCGGTGGCGCTGGATTTCCTCATCAGGCACGGAATTGTTTCGCCGGAAAACGGTAAGAAGCGTACCTTACGGTCTATTGATTGATTTAAAATTGGTTATTTTTGATTTAGAGAGGGAATATCTCAAAATCATTGAGCTTCTTCATGTACCGCTGCAATCGATTTATGGAAAATGTACGCCCAATTCCATAAAAGAAAACGGGACTTCCCTGCATAGTATTAGTAAATAATTCAAGTTTTAAATAATGTCCTTTAGTTTTGTTTGCTGTTACATTGATATAACGAGCCTTAATACTGCAGACTTTATATTATGTATACAGTATTGAAAAACAAGCTTTCGTCTCTAATAGCCTAACTGCAAGAAGGTTTTCTTTAAAATTACTACTTATTAGAAAAATTAAAAAACATAGAGGTTATCACAATATTGAGTTTAGTATGGCCGAGTCCTTCTATGTAGGTCTTTGCATAATAAACTCACTATCACAATATGTTAATTGTGCATATTATAAACGAAAGCAGGTTTTCTGAATATTGAATAGAAATAATGATTTTTAGGTAGATTGTTCTTTGAATAATTTTCGAATCTACTTAAACGTTTATCAATCACATTGAATTCTGTACGAATTGTTTTTAATTATCTTTTTAAAAACGGTAACCATATTTTAGCTAAATTTTACATACATTTTGAGAGCTTACACTTTTGTAATATTTTATTTATTTCATAGATTTTTTTATACCAAGTAGACGGAATAATCTAGTGTAGAAATTAATATATACCCAAGAGTATTATTTTTATTTATATTCATGTACTTTTGACTTATTAATTTTTATTGTACTTGTGATATTGTTTTTTATTTAGTGATATTGACTGTAATAAACACTTACGAAAACAATAAATTTTTGCGACAACAATTCGTACGCTCCTCATTCGAAAGAAAACCACTCGCATCTAAAAAATAAATTGTATTTCGAAATTTTTTCGTGCTACCTCCCGAAGAGTTTTTTCAAAAAAAAAAATAATATCAAGCGGTTACTTCAGTCGAAGCCAGAACCTCCATATCATCCCGACATTTTGGAATGTACAACGTGGCGCAAGTGTGTTCCCATATATTATCTTGTGGATATTTGTCTTCGATGGTCCACTGCCCCGTATCCAAATCGTAGAATTCGATAGCCGCCGTATCTTTATCGAACATTTCATCGCTGCAAAACCCTCCAATGAAGTAAATCTTCTTCTCAACGCACACTATCCCGGCGTGATAACGAGGCGTAGGCACCCTAGTTACTATCTACAAAAAAAAAAAAGAAGATTGGTAAAATAACGATGAAAAAATCGGTTGTATTCAACGCACCCTCCAAGTATCCTCCTCCACATCGTAAGCATCTATCGTATCCACCAAAGTCCTAGCCCTGGAATCCTCGGTCCAACCGCCGCAAACGTACAAAAACTTCCCGACGTTGAGCATGACGTGATCGGCGCGCGGCCGCAGCATCGGCGTGCACGCCTTCCACTTTTCCACGTTCACATCGTAGCAGAACATCTGCCCGCTCTGCGCGTTGTCCCTGTCGATGCCGCCGCTTATGTACAACTTGCACTCGTAGTCGTTCTCGTAGCTGGCGCCGGCGTGCTGCGACACGTACGCCGGCAGCGGCTGCATCATGTACCAGGAGTCCATTCGGGGGTTGTAGCACTCGCAGGTGCTCACGTCGTACTCGTCCACCTCGCTGTTGCCGCCCACCGCGTACAGCAGCTCGCCCACCACGTTCAAACTGAACCGGCACCGTTCGATCTTCATCGGCGCTATCGTCGACCATTTGTTGTACCTACGGCGGAGAAAAATTGCGGAATTGATATGAAACTAGCACCGGCAGGAGCGACGCACCTTGGAGTGTATCTGAACCCAAACGGGTGGATGTTTTCCTGCAGGCTTTGGTTGAAACAACCGCCCACGATGTAGAGCTCGTTGTTAAACACGGCCGTGCCGAAATTGCATTGCTCGACGTGGGGTATGGACGTGAGGTGCTTCCATTTCCTCTCCGAGGCGAAGCAGTAGGTGATTTCGTTGGTGATGCCGCTCATGCCGAACCCGCCGATTTTCAGGAGCGCCATCTCCATGCCCCGCGAGTTGAGGAGATTGGATATGAAGCGGGTTTGCTCTTGACTAGATTGCCGGTACACTTCTTGCAGTATAATTTTGTACAATTGCCATTCGCACTTTCTATCCTCGAACACCTTGTCCAATATGCTATCGAGCTTCCTTTTGGAGATTTCGATGAAATGGATGCACCGGAAGATGCGCCCGGCGTAGGAGAGGCGAATGTTCAATCTGCGTTGATGACAACTCGTACGGTAATCAACTAAATAAACGTAAAGTCTAAGTTTCTTACTCGTTGGTGTCGACGTGGAAGAACCAAGCCAGTACTATCCTAAACACGTCGGCTTCCGAACAATCCACCGGTAAATCACAGTCGAGTAAATTCTCCAATTGCTGGGGGGTTAGCCTGTAAAACTCCGGGCTGCTCGAGAACTCCAATAAATGTCCGCTCATGAATCGGTACACCTTCGTGCTGAGCTGCGAAAGGGAATACGTTTCAGCTGCAAACAAAAACGAAAATTATACACTTTATCAACATTAAACCAATAGCTAAAATCACCTATTGTCGCTATATCCACGCAATTATCTATGTCGATTTGGGTTTGCAAAAAATTCGAGCAAGTTTGTATAACTGGAAGCATTTGAACGTGAGATGCAGCCTCCAAAACGTCTTGAACATTAGCTATATTCAGCGCCAGGCGCGTCGTGTAAGCATAGTCCAATAGCTGATGAAATCCTGCAATTAATAACAAGCACTTGGAGATTTTTGAGAGGTAATCCACTTGATTAAAGACCACAATACATCATTTTTCATTGGTAGAAACTAACCTTTTGCAGTGATGCCATTCAGGCAAATCTCGTCTTGTGTGGCTTCCAGCATGTTGTCCGTGAACATGGCCCGAAAATAGTCGCTGCACGCCGCCAGGACTGCCTTGTGAGCTTTGAATTGAACACCTTCTGTAAATTGCGAAATGGTGAGAGTTTGAAAGTTGATCGTTTGTATGTAGGATCCTTGCCTATGACTAGAGTGACATCGAGAAGTTCGCCTTTGGTCCTTAACGAATTGAGGCCTTCGAGCAGGTGGGTTTGGTGCGAGGGGTATTCGTAGAGGAGGCTATTGAGTATTTTGTCGGAGAAGTATTTTTCTTTAGTTCTGGTCATCGCTGGTTCATAAGAGAGCCGTCATATCTGCAAATAGAGATTTCTATTTATTTATTACGTGTCGTAAGGATAATGAATTAGGCATAGTAAAGGTTGTTGTGCACCTTTTTGCGAAAGGAATTTGTGACAATTTTTTTATGGTTATGAATTTTGATGGGCCGCATTTGACAGTTTTGTTTCGATAAAAATATTCGTATTGTAACTGTGAAATTTAAATCTTACGTAAGTTATAAGCCGGCAATGAACATAATCGCCCAACTTATGCGACTATTATGCAAATTACAGTGGACTTTCTCGCATTTCTCGCACTCACCATCTGCATTATCAATTAATATTCAAATCTATATTTACTGTTACATTAAAACAAACTATTCTTAGTTTAGCACTTAGCATCAAACATCAAAAAATGCCAAAAGAAGACCAAATAAGGAAATAATTTGCTCGTACAAGGCCGAAATCGATCAACAACACTCCTGTTACTAAGTAACGATGAAAAATCTATTCGAGCTTTACACTCCGCAAGTTGACAATCGTCATTATTTAGATTTTTTTACGGGGCACGCGAAGCGAAAGAAAGATGCAGTGCCAGAGAAGGTGCACGTGCACATGCAGAATGCGCTGCGAATGCGATTGCGTATGCAAGAAGAAACGATGGCCTCCCAGCGAAATCGACCTAACACTATCCCCATTCGATTACAATATGGACGAACCTGTGGTTGTTAAATTTATCACGTCCAATGCCAGGGTATTCACCAAGACCTTCCCAGTCCGCAGGATGATCAAGCAGGTAAGTAAATTTGTTTATAGAGATAGGAATGGTATTTTCAACTGAGAGTGATTGCAGATACGCCAAGAATTCGAAGAAATCTTCGGCATACCAGCGGAACACCTCCTCATATCCTACCAAGACGTGGTACTCGATGGCGAGTTGATGCTAAAGAGCCTCGTCAAAGACGAGGAATTCAAGACGTTAGAACTGAAATTAGCGACGACGGACGCTTGCAACTATGTCATCGACGTGCAGAAAATCTACCCGGAGATCGACGCCGTCCCGGACATCATCACGGTGCAATACAGAAACGTGGACGGCGACAGAAAATACGCGATAGTGGAAATCGAGCACAAAGCCGTGCAGAAACCCATGCTGGGCGGTTACAAGCACATTCGAACAGGTACCGATCGAATTCACCGAATTAGTGTTGCATCTGTTGCATTGGAAAACGTGTTGCAGGTGTAAAATACTTTCACGGTTACAGCCAGACGGGGCCGTCGCCTCCGAAGGTGCCGCCCGAAGAGCAGTTCCACCGGGACACGCAAACCACCGTGGTGAGAAACCGATTGCAAAGCATGAGTTACTCGCAGGCGACTCAAATGTCGAGCAACCAGATCTACATACCGAACGTTACCGATAAAATAATCACGTCTGGCCCGTACGAGACTGCGGATGAAAGGGAAAAACGGCTGGACGTGCAGGGTAAGATCATTACCATACAAAGGTGAGGCTTCTACAACTAGCTATTTAGTTATTTAATCGGTTTATTTGGTGTTTAGGTACTACAGAGCGTGGAAAACGAGATGCGCGTTGAAGAAGCTCAGCGCCGAATACCAGAAGCGTATTCGACTGGCCCAAGAAGCGGAAGACGAGGAGCAAAACGAGGACGATAATCGACGTAGGAAAGACATGGTTAGCAAGATATTTCCCGTGTCGTTGGCCGATTTCGCCATGCTTTTCACCATGGTGGATAGGTGGAAGAAGAGCGAAGTGGCGAGAATCAATTCGCTCTATTGCGGCGCCTCCAAAATCGCCGAGCTCTACCTACTGCTGGAAAAAGAAATGGAGATCCTTAGAGGAATCGAAAACTTGAGGACCAAGGCTGCTCGGGATATGGAGTACAAGAATGTCGAAAGGTTTTTCGAAAGAATTGGTAAGTTAGAAAGTTTAATTCATCTTAATAGTACTGGGTTATTTATTTTGCAGCGAAACCTATCGACTGGTACAGCACCTACAAAAGCTTGCACATATTCATGGAAACATTGGAATGCCAAAAAGGCCGTGAATACTTCAAATTGTACAAAAAACTAGTAGACAGAACATTAAATTTCAAAGACAAACTTAACGTATACATGGAGGTGGGTACTTGAATGTACTTCGAAAATGTTTGTAATAATCGTTGACATTTAGATTAAAGAGTACATCAACGATCACGATTGCCAAGACAGCGATCTGCTCAACACGCTAATAAATCAGGCGTGTCAGCTGATGTCCAGAGGCATCGAGAGCAAGTTTCTGAAAGGTCTCGAGAAGCGCATCGAAGCGACCGTGTTGCATCACTTCAAGAACGTGGAATGCAACGAAAACGTCACAAAGTATAACGCGAAGCAAACGAACCGAGTTCGAGCGATCGTTACGTTCTATCTTGCGCAGGCACATGAACATGATCGAATTGGCCAAGATGGAGAAGAAGCTCCACTTCTGCACGAGGTGCAGGAAATTCAAGACCATCGACGGGTACAGACTGGCGGCGCGCACCGACCGCCTACGCTACTGCAACAAGTGCAAATGGTTGGACAAGATCGAAGAACCTTGGGTGGATTTGTTGCCGCACCGGTTCATATTGAAGCAAGTGAGGAACTACGAGCGACTGCACAGGGCCACGTCCTCCGTCGCCTTCATTTTGCAGGACGTCGACGTTCATCACATCGTCGTCAACATTTGGCATGGCCATTCCGCTTTATCGGAATGCAACGATATTTATCAACTGAGGTATGCAATCAATTTGATTTTAATGTTAACTGAAATTGATACTGGGTGAGGATGACTTTAGGTTTATGAGGGATAAGATTCTATTTCTCTACTGTTGTTCTACTGTGCCTCTCATGTTCTCTACTAAAGTACTTTCAGTTGATTTAGGTATTAGATTTCCTAGGAAGAAGAGATGTGAGAGACTTGCTCTACTCCCAGATTTTAGCAGCAATGAAGGATAATATGTTCTCCAGTATAATATATTACACTGGGAACAAACAACAAAGGTTGTGCTTTACGAAGTTTCACAGCTGGACCTATATAATTTTGACAGCTGATTAATGAGGGTAGATTTTGAAAACAGCGACATCGAACAACGTGATGAAACCAAAAAATATCCAGTGTTATTTAAGTTTCATTTATTTACAGTGATTCTTCTGGTATTCTGAAAGATTAACTTTTAACCCATTACTACTGCTATGAGCATTGTTGTCTAGTCTAGTCGAGTTGAATCTATTGTTGTATACACAATCATCCTAATGGCGAATCATTTATGTAATCTGTTTGGTAATTAGACGGTAATAAATTTGAAAGGTTGGCGCGTTGGAGGCGCGACGACAATTGGTCGCCGTGGAATTGCATCCTGTTGACCGTCGAGGAGATGAGGGCTCATCTGAAGATATCGAAAATCGACGAGGTGTACGAGAAGGAGTTCATGAACCACGTGTACAACAAGCATGCCTTGGCGAAGATGCACTTCCCGACGTTGCAATCGCTGGATAAGAACTTCACCAAGAAGGTGAAGGGCGACGCGAAGATGGACGAGTACTCGGGCTACTACGACGTGGGGAGCATGGAGTGCCTGAAGAGCGAGACCTCCGAGGAGGAGTTCACCGAAAGCGATGAGGTCGATTTCGATTGTCACGATTTGTCTAAGGTGTGCAACTGCGGCGTGGCGCCTGGATGCACATCTTAGGCAGAATTGCCTAGGTGCTTTTTTTTAATCTGTTTGTAGCGAAAATTTTATTAAAAATCTATTGATTGATTAATTATCGTGTTCTTTGAACGGGTGATTTTGAGAGCGGTTCGACCGCAGGAAATGTGAAAGCGAAATTTAATCATCGCAAACAAATAAACGACAAAAGACGAAATCCGCGGGAACTCAATTGTTGCGTAAAGGATTTATGCAAGGCTCGCGTGAAAATTGGTACATTCTATCAAATCGTCGGATGCTCTGTTAGAACAAATTCCTTTTTGATCGGGTTGTTCGAACAATCGCTGGAAATGTAAAAGCATAAAAAAAATTATGGGTTGGTTACCGGCCAAGGTTGAATACATCCAATCATTACCTTCGATGAAATCGGCTTCAATATCAAACGTAAGCAAGAAATACCTATTTTATACAATATAGAATTAAATACAAAGTCGCATGGAATGCCGCGTTTTTACTTGCGTTTTGTTGCTTTCACTCCGCACAATTGCCTGTTGGGTCAAGCTAGTAGAATTTGCATACAACTATCTATTTCAGTACGTTAGGTAATAATTTGTACTTTATAATTTTACCAATAAATAATAGAAAACTTTTTATGAGATTATATTTACGAACACACCAACACACCCCACTTTTTCAGTACAATTAATTGTTTGTAGCACTTCAATATTTAAGGGTAAATAATGTAGACAAGGTATAATTAAATAGGGGTTAATGTACATCAGTATAATTAGGAATCATCAAACATAAATTGATCAAAATTTTAATTGCAATCAGCAAGTGTAATAAGAGAAATGTTGGTAAACATTCTTATGCATTCTTAGATAATAATTACTTTAACATGTTGAATACCACATTAATGTTTTCATCCAATTAGAGATTTATTTGTTTATAATTTGCAGATTATGAATTATACAAAAATATCTAAATATTGAGAGGAAAAATTCGAAATTTTTTGTAGCATGATTTCACATTTATCTTCGATTAATATCGGAAGTTTAGAGTTTAACAAACCAATAAATGAACAAAAAATTACGATTATTACTCACCAAAATGAAAAATTGAACCCAAAAACCCCCGCTCTCTGTTCACAAAAGTTCACTTTTTCTCGATTCAAACTTCGTGACAACCTACAAACATCGTTCCAAATAGAAGACACTGCGAAACAGAAGAATTCTATTTTAGTTCCTGTTTGAGAAACCGGACGAGAATGGGAACAAGCTGGTAAACGAAAGAATGGTAGAATTTGTTCATGCAATTCGACTTGACCCACAACCCACATGAAGAGCTCCTAGCTCCTTTCGGGCGGCGTTGCCAAGGCGGCGCATTACACTGGGAATGTGACACGAACAGTTAGAATTTTTATTGTTTGAATTGTTGTTCGCACATTAAAACGCATGTTTAGTTATTAGTGAACTATATTTAACATTTATTGATTTATAAAAGGAATACAGGAGTAGTTTTTTTATTAGAAATCGGTCTAATCGTAATTTAAAATTCCTGGCTTTGCGAGAATCCAGTGACGTTTGGCAAATAAGCAAAGTTTGTTTGTTGATGTGTCAGAACAGTGCAGTAGGAGAATATTTTAGTGAAAATATTGTTAATAAATATTTTTATTAAAAAATTAATCTTTAGAACTAGAATTTGTGTCTTACTGTACATACGAAGACAACATACGTTATATTGAAGTAGTTAAGTGTATAAAATTTATTAAAATTGTATTTCAGATGTGTGTCAGAAGATAGGCAACACAAATTACATTTATCCATTTAACTACTCATATTGAGCCGAGATATTGAGTATTACTTGAATTAAACACAATTAAATAATAACTGTGTTAGTTTCGTACACTAAATTTATAAATAAATACATCTATTAATCCAAAAATGGTAAAAAAATCTAACAAAATCCATTTTAATCCAAAAAAACAACAGATTTACTCAGGTGGTTCCCACGAAATTCCACCTTCAACCCACATCGTAGGGTGCCGATTTTCAGACGAAAACATTCGTCGACTTTCATATACGGCGTTTCCTTGAACATGCCTACATATAAGTCAACATTCCTCACGTTACCTCTCTTTTCCACAACAAACATTACTAACGGACTTCCAAGTGGTCCCACCTCTTGCCCGACCATCTTTGGTGCGCGCCATTGCCAAATCACCCAAACCAATGTCCCCATGTATGGTATTTAAACAGCAAGGATTCAGTATGCAAGTATGACCAGAAAATTAGAGTAATTTTGCATCCTTTAAATGAAAAAGTCTACAAGAGACCCTGCAAAATAGCGTCAAAAAGAGTTGAAAATGTTGAAAGAATCAACCCTAAAGTAATTTCTAATATAATCTATTATCTTCCTGGATAAAATGCAGGGTTAACAGTTTTAAGTATCTACGAGTAATCGAGTGATTCACCGCAATCTTGCAAGGAATTTTCCGATTAATTTACAGAAGAAATGTATAGAAAGTAAGAAAATATTGTACCTTAGAAGGGACACCGTGTAGTAAAAATTGGATCCGGCAACGCGGCCATTGAGATTCAATTGAATCGTACAGCACAATTCAAACGCAAACCGCACCACGACCAACGATTTTACCTCACCTTTTCCCATCGAATTTGTTCGCCGTTCGCTGTTGGCTTCGCTTCGAGAGCTGGTGCTGGATACCGCGGATACCGCGCCGTGGACGAAACAGGTGGCCGATAACGGGACGTACAGTGCTCCTTCGGGTTTTTCGGGATAACAGGCGACACGCTAGGACGGCGGAACAGCCCCTCTGATGATGACTGAAACGGTGGTCAACGTGCAGGAAGCGCCGAACAACAATGCTGCTAACAAGCCCCAGCAGCCCGGAGCAGCCGGGCAGCCGGAGTCGCCGCTCGCTTGGATTAAGATTAACTTGGAGTATTTCAAGACGACGCCCGGAATTTTGAAATTAGTCGAATTTGTGAGTATACAATTACTCCTAATTGATCTCCAATTTGTCGTTTGATTTGATAGTTTAGTTTTAGATCCCCACTATTAGTCCTGCGAATAAAATAATGCGCTTTTTTTAACCTTGAGTTATCCAGACAAACAAAATTTTTTTCTTCAGGAATATTTCGTTGTTGCGCTGTCTTATCGCCGCAAAAACGTTTTAATTACTGTTAAGTAGTAATTAATATTTCGTCGATTATCATAAATATTTTGTTGTCAACAAATATCATAGGCGTTATTTATTTGAAAGTAAATACAATATTATACCTATTATTTAATACTGCAACAATAATTTTTCTGCAGAAGAATTATTTTACATTCGATTATTTTTCACTTCTTATATTTATTACTTCCTCCCATTTCCATATTTTTTTTATTTTAAGAGTCTTATCTCAAGTGTTTATAGTAATACACTTTGTGATTGACAAATTTCTCCTATTATTAAGTAATTTTTTTCCACTTTTTCCATCTTCTTTCAACTTTAATGGGCCTTTAATTAGTGCCTAATTAGTGAATACATTTAACGACCTATTGTAGTGTAATTAAGATTTTGGAAACACCCGGTATATTCGTAACGTTGAAATTGTTCACGGAGGTTTCGAAACCACATCGGCACTCAAAAATGCGCCAAGATTGTCCCACTATAATTAGTTAGGGCGACTAAAAATACCGCCAGTATAGAAAAATATCTCGAAAAGCGAGGCTCGTCGAGATTTTAACTAGAAACTAGTTTTACCGGATCGGCTGGTGTGTGTCAATTAAAAATAGGCGATTTAAATACATAGATAAAATAGTCGGGCTCGTTGTAGGACAGATTTTCCTCTCGATATGACCGAAACGGTGATCAAAGTGTACCCGGAATCGTCGAGTTCCGGACCAGCGCCGCCCTATTCCGGGCGGCTCAAGCCCGATCTGGGCTACTTCCTAACGCCGCCCGGCCTGCTGAAAATCATCGAAGTCGTAAGTGTATAAATAAAGCTTCAGTTATTTCGAGAATGAGCTGAATTTACGGTTTTACGCAATTCTCGCAATTGCTCATTTGAGCCTTCGAGTGAGTTGCTCATCTTCAATAAACTTTGACTAACCGAGTTTTCCCAAACGTTATCACCGAACAATTATCGAGATAAATCGTTTATGAAATATCCGAATATGACAAACCTGTTTGCGATTTCAATTAATTTGCGGCCAGGAAGAATGAAATTTCGAGATGTTTTTAGAGATTTGCATCGTCGAAGGTCGCTAAAATGCCATAATCTATCCACAATACATCAATTTACATGCAATATCTTGTCATTATCGTATTTATAGGTATGAGACTGGCAATTGTATAACTCCTACAGAGTCAATATTTAAAGTGAGATATTTTGTTTTCTAAAAATACGTTCTTAAATGAAAACAAGAATAAAAAGCAGTCAAATTAAAGAAACAATCATGATATATTTACGACTGTAGTTAAAAAAATCTCGTTTATCCCACTTCTGCTGCGAGTAGGAGAATCGAATTTCCATAGAAAATTCACTGCAAACGCGAATTTCTCGAAGACTTGAACAAAATATCAAGGTTAAGTACGAATGCATTAAGTTCCATTATTTTTAAATCGCGTAATATTATATAACGTAGGATTTCTCACAATGTAAGACGAAAGTTATTATTAAATAGCTTTAAACAACTCTGACCCTCTTCTAATTAACTTGATGATAGTACGATTCGCATTCGCATAACTTGAGGCTTATTTTAATTAAGTAAGGAATAAGCAAATTACTTTTAACAACGTGAGTATGTTATTAGAAAAACTATAACAAAAAGCTGTTTATTTGCAGCTCAATGTTAAATGTTTTGAGTAAAAATTCACGAAATTCAAGGATGATTTCTCGGCCAAACAGCGTGTAAATCTATCATTTTTTTTCGAATTATAATCGAACTTGAACGCTATCCAAGAAGTACATACATATGTAGGTATGTATCTAAAAGAGTTTCGATTTTATTAGTTTACTCAAATCAATGATTTTAAAATAATCAAACTATAGTAGTATAGTATGTTCGAGCTAATCTGATTATGACGTCACTCTTCCACTTTCCTGCAATCCCAACACTGATTCTACAATGTTATTTTTGAACATTTGGAAAGGATGTGGCCGGTATTCTCCTTCCTTATCTCACCGGTGCTATGACATAATAAGGAATAAAAATAATTAATGCAACGACAACCTAGCGAAGTATATCCAGAAATGGCAAATGGTTATCGACGTCATGGTGACGACTTTATGGTAATCTGAACGCCTACATGTTAGTCAATTTTTTCAGAAATGTTCGTTATCGCGATTTTGTTGGGTGTTTTGTAGCGATAAACGCAATGACTTAATGGATAACATTCACGAAATTAGTGTAAAGTTTATTGACTTTGCAGGTATTCTGAGGAAGCAGATATTTGGCGTGAACGAAAAACGCCGGCAGGATGCAATTCTGATTTTCGGCTCGTTTCGAAAATGTTGCATAAACAGTAAACGAGCGAAACGCGGTTTGCCGGATTTTCAAAAATAGCAACGGGGTTATTTTAAAAATTTTTATTACCGCCATTCCTTGAAGAAAGAGTAGTTAATCGGTGACAAAATTCGTTTTATTCAAGTGTAAAAGCCTTCGAGTATTGGCCACGGTCCAAATACTAAATAAACTAAATTTAATTCTGATTGTGTGCGATTGCGTTCGAATTGGAAATAAGATATTGCCGGGAGGACAACCGAGCAACTTCCTGCAAACCTAGCCAACGCGATTTTATCTTACAACTTATAACCATTCATTTATTAGTTCATATAGCACGTTCACGCCTATCAAACGATGACATCACGATTAATTTAATATCATGTACTTCAATTAGAGTTCAAATAATCCGTGGTTATTAAGTGGATTATTTATTATTATTATTCTTGTCGAATAAAGTGGGTTAGAGTATTTAGAACTCCAATTCAGCAGGCTAATTTCCCGTTCGCATTAAGTATTCCGTAAAGACTTCTTGATGATTTTTAACGTCTAATGACGAGCGATAAATTTGTCCGAAGAAAACTTACCGTAAAATAAATATTTGTAGTTTATAGGTCAGATCGTAAACCGTTAATAGTAAATTCAATGTTTCATTACATCCTTAATCAATACGATTTTTAAATAATTTATAGCGACAAGTATCGGCCATTTTGCGCGCCGTTAATTGATGATTCGTTGATGTTTTTTCGCTTTTATTGCCCTGCTGATGTTTAATTTTTAATTTTATAGCTTCTGAAGATGGACCAATTTAACCGAAACTTTCTTGTGACACGAGAAATTCGGAATAAGATTTTTTTACAAGTTTGCTTCCTCTTTAAATAACTATTTATTAGTATGTATTTCTATCACATGTTTTATAAGAAAAAAAACTAATAATTATACATGAATAAAGTATATTATCAACCTCGATTCGTTAACGGGAGCTATACTAAAGGAGGGTTACTCACAAAACAGACACGTCACGTACAATTTCCCACAACAGGTACTTATAGGGAATGACATTTCGTAAGTTATAATCCGTTTCTAGACCGGCATGAATTTTTGATAACGTCGGCTCGGACATAAAAAATGAATATTAATTTTAGACGGTCCGTGCCATTTCCCCGGAACCGATTTAATCTAGACCGCGGCTGATAAAAAAGACGGTTCGATAACGGAAGGGATCGCTAAAGGTTTTAAAATAATTAAATATTTTATCAGCAGGTACAGGAAGAACAAACTTACAATATTTAGTTCATGTGAAAATGAGTTTTAATTGAATTCTAGTAACTATTGTTAACGAAAACTTTAAGTATTTAATACAAGTATTTAATTAATCCGAATAATTCGTAATAAATGCTTCGTTTTTCCGCGGCTGAAATAAAATATAGCACGTTTATTAGCGGATGTCCATTTCGGTCGTGTTTACCGTACGATCTCGTTGGAAAAACTGTCACTAAATATTGAGGTCACCGGGGCACTAATTATTTGTTATGTATAAATTAGCATCAATTAAGCGAGATATTAAATGGACGAACTGACGCCTGTTCCCGAACAGGACTAATTACCGAGTTGAATAATACACATATTTTTTTTTCATATGTGCGGTCATAATCGGCAAGGACATGCGAGTAATTCAAATAAAAAATTACACACAATTCTTATTATTGTCTACGGAAAATTATTGTTGTTGTTGGTTAAGTTCGTTTTCTTTTTGCATTTATAGCGCGTTACAGGGATTCCCCGGGATAGCAAATAAATTGCACAAATATTAATTTAGCGAAAAATTACTGGAGATAATGAAGTGAAAAAAACACCAAAACAATGCTAATCGATTGGAAAGTCTCGCACAATAATGTCATAATTATAAGTTGTATAACTTGGTATTTAATCTAGGGTCCTTTTGAGTGTCGTTTCGATTCAAAATTCGCTAAACCTGGTGCTTGATTTATCGAAATTCGCCAAGATCCATGCCAAGGTCGACCACCTTCTCCGGCTATTATGATCCAAAACACTTGCGTTTCACAGCAATTCGCATAATTCTCTCCCGGCTATTTAACCGAATGGCTTAATTGCAATTATCAATCTAGCCGGCATAAATAACTTCTTGCATCTGTTCGAACGCAACTAAAAATACCTGTAACAGTACCATTATTTGTTCTGAATGTGCTGTTAAATACTGTTGTTATTAACGCTATTACTTAATTGAATATCTCTTTAATATTAATAACAAAACAAACCGTAATGAGAATTTTTATTTATTACTATTAAATGATTAATACAATAACATTAATAAAATTGTTTTACAGTTAGTAAGTATACTGTAAAACAATTTAGAATGCACTTTTTTACTTATTGTAGCGTTCAGATTGTGACCATTTCGAGAGCGTATAAACCATTCCCTTTCACCCATTTACTTACAAATTGGGCCGTAATGCGAACGTTACCGGCCTGCAATTTTGCTCACCCAGTGTAAGTGTGCCGTTGAAAAAGGCCTGCCGCCTTCATGATTGGAATTATTAACATATTAACGGTATCAAAAGATCCCGTGTGTGCAGTTTCGGTAAAAAAAAAGTAATTGGGATCGTTTAAAGAGTGAAACAATGTATACAGTGGCTTCATAGAGTCCTCTTCAATAGTTGTTTAATAAATAACGCACTAAACGTGGTGTTAAATTCAGGTGTAATGATGTATAGATTTTCGGGATATTTAGTTTTTTGCTTATGCAAGTTTGGTTGAGAATTTTTTAGGTCAGGTGGGCAAAAATACTTTGTAAAGTTCACTGTTATAAATTTATAAAAATCTCGTCAACAACGTGATATAATGCCGCAAATAATGCACTGTGGTATAAGATTACGTATTGGGTTGTTTTAGCAGAAAAATTAGGCTTTGTTGCTTCTATTAAAGCTTTGTTATTCGCGTTTCTTAGCACATTTCGTCACGTAAGCCCTATCGATTGCGCATAGATAAGCGCTTTTTTGCGTTTCCAGGAAACTATGGCATTTTTATACGTAGCACTTGCAATACAAAAAAAATTGGACGCACTTAATTAAAACCGTTAATTCGAACGAAAATAAACTCTAGTCATATGTCAATGAAACTAAACGACCCATGAAATTAGTGCACTAATGCAATGGAACAAAAATAGAGCAAAACGCATTTGTACAAATGGAACGCATTCATATAATATGAAGTTGCAGAGGTCGTTGACTGATTCATTGATTTAGTGACTGACAGGAAATTTTTCCTCCGGATCTTTTCTGCTGAAAAAGTGCCGTATTGAATTCGATCTCGCGAAAACAAGGCGCAGAAGCCGATTCGAGGGAAAGCTGGTCAATTTTAAGAATATAACCATGTCATGTTTATGTAAAGAACAGTACATTCACCTCAATTCTAACTCACAATTTATTACATTAATTCGTAAAAACGTAATTTCATCGAAATGCTACCCAATTTACAAGAACAATCATCGAAGTGATAAGTGTTTTTTTCACGGGGAACGTTTGAAATCTAATCGATCTAACCGCCTTGTCGCACCTTTTATTATTTTACTCGCAATAATAATAAACAACCGAGACTCGGAGAAGCGTAATTATTCCACGTCATTCGCAAGGTCACGAGTGCATGGAAAATTGTATTTTCTCGCTAGGATTATAAATAATTTAATAAATTGCTCGGTGCTTCAAATGCGCACTTGTAGTGTGTCTAGGGACTCTTCTGCATTTGGGACTGCATAAGTCGCATTGAATCGCGTTGATAGCGAAAAACCGGCGTTTTAACAGTATTAACAGTAACATCACCTCGAACTCGCAGAACGAGATTTTATCGAACAGTTAGAAGATATAATACAGGGAATTCAAAAATGTGCTTGCGATTTAATACAAAATCAAATCGATACATTTTTAGTGTGTTCATATGGCGATCGTGTTAATTATACACATTAAAAATCATTTTGATGATTGATTTAATTAGAGAACATGTAAACATACTTGCGTTCAAATGATGCGGGTCACGGGTTTCGAAGAAATCTGTTTTTTTTTATTTATTCAATTGCCTTTTAAATCGTCTCGCTCTTTGTTTACATTCTTGTTAGTATGCTTTTTCTATTGTAGCGGTTTTTTAAGCTCACTTTGAGCACATAATAGGTGGAAACCAAATTACATGGCGATTCGGAAATTAAAAGCCCAAAGAAGAAAGTTCTTTGTATATAATTGATTTTTTTACTGTTCTCTGGTTATGTTTGGTTGCACCTGGAGTTTCTTAGTAGTACAACAATTTCCACCATTACTTCTTTCTATCCACTGGTTAATACTACGCTACTATACAGTGAATCAAAAGAGTATAAGTAATTGCGATGCTTTAGTAGCATCACCAGTCGAATCCATCCTCCACAATAACCCGTAGGTGCATCTTACACACGAAAGCGGTCCGGTAATTTCGCAACGCGACGAAATCCTCTCCGGTTCTTCCGACACATCCACCGCACCATCTGCTGTTCTGTTGAGAAATACGAAATGGGAAAATAATCGGCAATCTACGCCTCTGCCGTCGAATCCAAGGTAGTTGACCCAGTGCAGACGTCGCAGGTGCGGTCGCGCTCTCTTTTGTTGTTGCATCACGCACTATCGGAAACGCGAAAAAAGCGGAAGCTGCCTTATACAAACGCGAAACGGGCGCAACATCTCCGTGCTGCTTATTCCACGTCCCGTTTCCGCCTCGAACGCTTCGATAATTGCTGGATGGATGGTGGATTTAAAGAGAGAGTTGAAGAAACAGGGTCCTTAGTAAAGTACCTACCATTAGAGTACCAATAGTTGATAGTACCATCTTTTTATCATAATGTATTGGTGGATCTTTCACCTAAATCATACGAATTATAACTGCTAAATTTTCCCAGAAACTGCTGGATGAATGGTTAATATAAGAAAGAGTTCAAGAAAAGGGGTCCTTATTAAAGTACCATTATAGTACTAATAGAATTGTTTATAGTACTATTCTTTTAGCTAATATAGTATTGGTGGATCTTTTAAATTCAAGCTCATACATTTTCCCAAAAATTGCTGGATGGACTGTGGATTTAAGAAAGTTCAAGAAACAGTGTTCTCATTAAAGTACCTACCTTTAAAGTACCAATAGAGTTCTTGATAGTACTGTTTATTGTTCATAATGTATTAGCGGATCTTTCTCACCTAAATCATATGAATTTTAGTTCCTAAATTTTGCCAGGAACTGCTGGACCAATGATTGATTTAAGAATGAGATCATGGAACAGGGTCATTATTAAAGTACCATTAGAGTACTAACAGAATTGTTTATAGTACTATTCTTTTAGCTAATATAGTATTGGTGGATCTTTTGAAATCTAGCTCATACATTTTCCCAAAAATTGCTGGATGGACTGTGGATTTAAGAAAGTTCAAGAAATAGTGTTCTCATTAAAGTACCTTTAGAGTACCAATAGAGTTCTTGATAGTACTATTTTTTGCTCATAATGTATTGGTGGATCTTTCTCACTCAAATCATATGAATTATAGCTGCTAAATTTTCGCAGTAACTCCTGAATGAATGGTTAATTTAAGAAAGAGAACAAGAAACAGGGTCCTTAGTAAAGTTCCACTAGAGTTCCAATACAGTTGTTGATAGTATCACTTTTTGTTCATAGTATACTGGTGGATCTTTCCCTTAAATCCTATGAATACTATCTTTTAAATATTTCCAAACATTTTTCTACAAAACCTGTCTAACAAAGAGCTTGTCATGTAGCCTTCCAACATTCCTGGGTGTTATTTCCCCAACAGGAATTTCGCATTTTAAGTAATTTACGATTGTCGAATGCGTTCGTATGCAAGCGTACGGAAAAGTAGGTCGACTGGTACGCATATATCATAAAAAATACCATCTACTGCCTGCCTACACGTTCGAACGTTAGCGGACAAACAATACGAATTTCACTATCATTGTACGGAGATGGGCGAATAGTACATACGCACGAACCGTTATTTGATGCCGTTGAAAAATTTTAGGTCGAACGTTGCTAACATGTAAATTTTATTGTATCTAGTACCTACTATCTAGTACTAGCTACAGCTGATGACATTAACGAAACCACCGGAATTTTTATTGATTGTACCAACTAAAATGTTACCAGAACCAATATTCTATGTCCAAAATATTGTGGATACACTATATTAATTTGGTACTATATTATTTGTTTTTTTTTCCAGGTTTTAGGAATATTTTGTATGGCCCTGGCATCGCCGGCTCATTACGGAAGTGCGCATTTCTTCCTATTCGTAGCGACCACAAGTTTTATATTAACCATTTTATGGATATTCGTGTATTTACTAGGAATAAGGGAGGCGCTTAGGATTCCTGTAAATTGGATTTTATCTGTAAGTTAACAACTATTTTATAATACCTAAGCGCAGTGTTTATCTTTTCATATTTTTTAGGAATTACTCAACACCGGTCTTTGGGGTGCTTTGTATATCATCGCCTTCATCGTTCAGTTAATAGCAGCTGCGGGTCTCCATCCTGCGTACAGCTTCAGGGGGTCGAACATCGCCGCTGGGGTAAGATTGGAACATCCAAAATAACCCAAATTATACAGATATATTTCGAGCTGATATCCAAAAAGTTGAAACACCCTTCGATATATCGATTTTGTTTAAAGCTAATTTTCTCGTAAAGAGTTTGGCTTCTGAATTTCCGATTAAACGACCTAGTTATTTTCCCAGAAACTTACAGTATTCGTTTCAATTACTTCAAGAAGAGTAGTAATTTGAATAAGTTATAAAAATTCCTCATTGTATTCTCTCTTATCCAAAATTATACCAAAATTTCAAATCAAATATTTGCGATGATTTGCATCAGTAAACTAATTTTTATATTTTTTATCCGTTGTTTATCTATAATTACTACACTCAAAAATATTTTTTTGCTTTATCTTATTTGCCTGTTAATAAATTTTAAGTTGATAATTGAAGAGGGCAGGAATATGCAATGTGGGTCACGTACCTTTATGGTTACCTATTAAAATATTGCGGCGTTGTCGCGTTGTACAATATTTCCGAAAAATTTAGATATACCTCAGTAATATTTTATTTTCTTTTTGTAGGTGTTTGGTATCTTCAATGCGGGTGTGTACTGCTTCGCCGCGTATCTCTTGTATCTCGAATGGAAGCGCACCACAACAACGAATTAATTATGCAACATCGTTCGATCGAACGCCTAAATTTTAAGGATTACGTACTGTTTTAGTTTAAGAGACACAGAGTACCTTAGCAATAAGTCATGAGAGAAAAAAATATACCTACGTGTAATTGTATACACTGTCGAACAAGTTTTGTATGTACTTTTTTTTGTTCCGATTTGTTATTATTATTTATAAGAATTGTGTGAGTTCGAATACCGAAACGGCAACTATTTAAATATTACCGCTGATTTATCTAAATTTTGATTTGCCTGTATTTGCATTTATTAAACTACTTCGGGCGCGATATTTACAATTAAATCTATTTTCACAGCTTACTCCATTGTTTTTATATGCATTCATTTGAAAATACTTGTGCAATGCCTGTAAAGTAATTCACTTTTTGTAAAAGCGGTAAATTAGATAGTACGTAGGTAAAATAATTGAGTAGGTATTTATTGCATTTCGTTGTTTTGTAACAACATTTCTCGAATTTCAAAAATACTGCTAATTTTTGGTGCTAATCAAAAGTGCGACTTAATTGTAATCAATAATCTTTAACGAAAATGAAGAAATTTAATTTTTTTTGTATATATTTAATCTCTGCATACATTTCGTCTTGAGTTTTTTATACATATCTACCGTTGGGATTTTTTTTGTACGTTCGTTATTTATAAAGTAAGTTTAAATTGCATTTCAGAATATTTTCACGCGAAATTCACGATTTCTGGCATTGTTGTTAATTGTGTCTATTATTATTTGAGTTTTCGCTGTTTAGCTTACGATTCAAAAATTATTTAATTCACTTCTTAATAATAAAATAGGTATAACGTTTAAGTTTTCAAATTTTATCACACAGTAACATCCCACACAGCAAATTTACGACTCTAGGATATATCAGGGACGTCAATAATGAGACATAGTATATCTCTGAGATCTTCAGAAATATTTTTGAGATATAATCGGGATATCTTTGAGATATCTTTATGTCCGCCTTGTAAACATCTCAAAGACGTGTTATTGAGATATCTCAGAACCGTTTAAAAATATCTCAAAGATATCTCGCAGCTTATATACTTAGTGCATCTGAGATATTATTTTAAATATTATTGAGACATAACCAGAATACTAAGAAAGTACTTTATTTTTTCAAATCTTATTAAATTACATCATTCTGTTCTTGCTCGCTCTTGTTTTTCTCTTTCCCGGTCCTTCCTTAATGTTGCCAGTCTTAGCCAGTTCTTTATAACTTCCGATATTTCATAGTCTGAAGTTAGTTCTTTACCTTTTTGACTGCGAATTGAATCTGAAAAATAAAATTCAAGTATTAGAAAAACATTTTACAGTGAAATTGTGAATGAAAACTCGATGTAACGAAAATTGTATTCTATTATTTTTTTCTTAAACAACTTTTGTTTCACTTGAGTAACTACCTTTTATAATTTTGACCAGCTCTAATTCACAAAACATATTCTTCTTCTTTGCTCCAACCCAACTGTAACATGCCGCACAAGAATTTGTTAAGAAAGCTCGAAGAATATTTACAATTGAAGTTTTTGTATCCTTCCCCAACAGAAGACGACTTCGTTGAAACTAAAATGAATATATAAATCATTATAAAATCTTTAGATAAGTAATTTTTATACTTACAACATATTTTCGTAAATTATCATTAGTTTTTAACATGTTGTTGATACGTTCCATTTCTTCAATGGTGTTTACAGGGAACACACTTTCAAAAATTTCTCTGCACGGATCATCATTTGGTAAATCTTTTTCCCTTTCAACAACTCCTAGTTCGAGCGAATTCAACCTATCCAATATTTCCTGTTGCATCAGGGACACTGCCACTACTTTTCTCTGGACGTTTTGTAATAATTTCATGCAGTCCTCCTGGAAGGCTAAAAATTACACAAAAATTGATTTATGTAAATACTCTTATTTACAAATTTACTTACTTATTGTTAGTTGGGAGGGAACTTCCATTCGTGTATCTTTTGCAGGCGTACAATTAACTAAAATAATTGATCCATTTGAAATTAAGTTTTCTATTAAAACGTAGTTAAGAAAAGTACAGTACTCAAAAAGTACGAAAAGCACTCACCTGTTTTGTCAGTTGGAAACGTTGGATATGCAGTATCTTCATCTTCATCGTCTGATAAAGAATATCTTGTTTCGCGATGTTTTATTTGCCTTTTTTGTACAATTGTTGTATCCATTTCATCTTCGGAGCTGGATAATTTTTTTGTCGCCTTGTACTTTCTTTTTTTCTTTTCTTCTTCTGGATCTGTTGTACAAATGTCACTCTCATCTTCAGCTTCTTTCACTTTTTTTAATCCATACTCATAATTATCTGGAAATATATAACATTTTAGAATAAATATAGTCTAACATCTTTAGGGAAAGTAATCATTTTCTCACCTGTAGAATATAAAATTCTTAAAATTTGACATTTTTGCCAATCTATGCCAGGTTTTATTGAATTTTTAACGGCAGCGTTGTATTTAGCTGTAGTTTTAAAATTCGGCCAGAAAGCTTCATTGTCGCTGTTGATCCAAAGTCTTGGAATAAGTTGCAGGCCATCATCAAACTCAACTACGCAGTACTTCTTATTCATTTTGAACTCTAAGTGTTTAAAATGGAACAAAATTATTATTTTCTATTGTTGCCATAATTTAAAAAAATACTTACCTCACTATGGAGTAAGGGAATAACAACAAATGTATTAGCTTCAAAGGGCAATTTCATATATTTGCACCTAACTTCAGTTAACGGCCAAGTTTTGAGCGCGGATAAGTGTGAAACTACATAAATATCAAGTTTAGATGAATCACAGGGTTTGTGAAATAAATTTTCTTTCTTTACGAATTCTCTACCTATTAGTAACATAGACTGTGCTTCAAACGAATAGGCAATGTTTTCTAACACTACAATATTGCCATTTTTGCCCAAAAAACAATTATCAGAAACAGAAAAAGCTTTTAATATGAATTGATCATTTTGTATTGAATGATATTGAGGATTTGAACATCCTTCAATGAGGGGACCACGAGTATGCAATGTTTTATCAACCATGAAAAATTTTAGATTTTTGTTTTTTGGCAAAAGCTTCCATGTTTGTGTACCTAAGGCTTCTATTTCAGTAGTTCTAAAAAATAATTGTTGAAGTGGTCTTTCAGATTTTCTCAGTAATTTCTTTATCGATGACATATAGTTTTCAAATTTGAAAGCGCTGAAATTATCCAATACTCCAAATTGTTTTACATCTTCAGCAAGATGTAACAGGTTATGAACATTATGGGAAACATTGTATTTTTTGTAAATTTTTTCATATGTCGAAACAAAGATGTGCAGTAATTTATTAGCATATTCAATGGTTTCACATTCATTTTGAATACAAAGCATTCTAATTGCAACATGTAGTGTAAGAAAATTTTCATAAACTTTTCTTCTTAAAATGCCGGAAAAACAAATTGGCCCTATATAAAGCAGTAACATTCGAAACTCTGTTGCTTTAAATAATTTTAAGTAATCCAATGAACGGGGTCTTCTAACAAATTCTTTGGGTATATAATGCTTTAAGCTTGTAATTCTTTGTGATATAGATTTAATTTTAGAACTGGGTAATCTGACAGATAAATCACCCCCGGTCCATAGGAGCAGAAGTCTTTTAGTTATACCAAGACATAAAAGGTGCATATAATCCAGTGGAACTCCTTTTACTAAGTCAAAATTAGGAATTTGTTTTAAAATTGTTTCACGAATATGGTATTCTTCGTCACTTTGGGCTCTAAAGCTTTCATCTGTTCTTTTACCACATGTACTGCCAGGAAAACAAACTCGGTTATTTAAAAAATCACCATTTATCAAACATTTTGTGCAGCTTGAATAGCCAGAATGCCCTTTAACGCCTAATACAAAAGACTTTGCTGGTGCATCACATACTATACCTTTTAGAATAAAAGGAATTATTTTATTATTTATGCATAAACCATTATTTATTAAATCTGTACAATCTTCGACAAAATTTGATAAAAATTCATTGACATCTTGTGGTTTTTGAGGACCAAAATAAACACCTATTATAAAAACATTTGAAAACCCTGAAATATTTCCTAATATTGGCCATAAAGAATTGGTAGACGATTTACCAATAGGCAAACCGTCGATATTTATCAATAATTCAACTATTTCAATGTTTTCATTTATCATTATTTGTAAAATTCTTTTCAAGCCAAAATGAACATATTCTCCTGGACATACAGTTTTAAGCACACACGTTTTTGCTGTATGAAGTAGTGTTCTACTATCCAGTGGAAGGTTAGAAAAACAATTGTGATTATGTAAAATATTCAATAAACTATTAAGTGAAACATGAGAAATATTATGTGAGATTGCCCAGTTAGCTAAACTAGATCTTATATTTTCAGCTTCTAACCTGAAATCTGTAGTAATACTGGAGTTGGTCATCACAATATTATGATCACAATTTTCTGAAGGTTCTGAAGATTCACTTAGTGTTAATAAACTGGGCTTAGGAGGAGAAAAATGTGTCACTTCGATACTTTCTTGAGAATTACATTCATCATCACTTGATTCAATAAAATTATTAACAGGAACAGGTTTCTGTGTTTCAAAGTTATTAACTTCTTGAAAAGTGTTGGTTATTTGTTTTTCAGGCTTATTCTTATTAACTTCAATTAAATTTCTTTGGACAAGGCGCCGCAAATGCCTCTTACTTACTGTACTAACTGATTTAGATTTAGGCATGTTTAATTCATAAAGAAAGGAATAAATAATAAATATAAAATAAAGGAAATTAATAATCCAACTATTAAGTATTAAATTTAAAAGATGCTTACTCAAAAAAAACCGTGTAACCGAAAGACATTGCACATTGCAAACCAAAAAGTGAGGTTAGTTGATCGTTTTCGCTCTAATTCTTTATTTTAACGATTGTGACATTTTCGATTGTTAATCATTCGATTCGATAAGTGACAGAATTCGATTTTAGTACGTTTAAATTATAAAAAGAATGCCTAAAATCAACTTTACATTAGGATTTTTGTCATATTTGCTTTTATTATTTGTTCTAGAGAATACTCTGTTATTATACAAGTATTAATTATTTCGAATCTACATATTACCGATTTAATTCTTATAATCGATTAATCGATATAATTTTGGTACCGCGGAAAGCAGGGAAACAAAAACAAAATGCAGGCATCTGCATTTATGTCTTTTTCTAAACTGACCAATCAGAAAACTATTCGCAATTCGCAATTCGTAATTCGCAAGTATATGGAATGCCCTTTAAGCAATGATATATACAGCACCGTAAAGTGTTATAAGAACCAAGAACCAATCAGAACGTGCCACGTTGGCTGTGGGCTCGTGTACAATAGCTAAATAGTACAATAGCTTAGCAGATCATCCCAAAAAATTAAGAAAAAAAATATGTGAAAATATTACCATCAAGCAATTGATAAAGCTGTAACTATCTCAGATACATCTCAGACATATCACTATTCACCAATATATATGTTACCAAGCTTTCAATTTTTTTAAATGTCTCGGAGACATTTCAGAAATTTCTGAGATATTGTGATCAATATGTGATCTGATTGAGATGGTACTGAGAGATTTGATGCTGTGTGGGATTGTACCTAATATTTAAATGTATATTTTATTAAAAAATAAATAATCATTGTTTTATATCGATTGTTGTTATTGGTTTTTTACCCAAAAGCCCCCATGAAGTCGATTAAAAATTGAAAATTTTAAATATACCTACTAATGTGACAAAAAAGTACCCGGAAAGTTGGAATAAAACGCAAAATTTCTAATCTTCATTAATATTTCTTGAATATTCTTCAAAAACATGCTCCTTTTAAAGCGATTCGCATATAGTCAAATGCCTTTTCCAATCATCGAAACATTTTGATAGGCCCTTTTTGGTACAGCTTTTAGCTCCTTGCGAATTTTAAATGTTGGTATTTGTGCAGATAAAACGATCCCCGTAGCAAAATCAAACGAGCGGTTTAACGGGAGATGTTGAGGTCCACGTGCTATTTCTTTAATAGTAGCATGATGATTTTGGAACTTAATTTCCTTCATTTTCTCGCCGTTATCATTGGCTGAAGTGGTCGAAGACCGCCCAGAACAAGGCAAGTCGTTAGCGATCTATCTAATCGATAAAACATAGTCACCTAAAGCATTTGCATCGATTCGGTCCACGAAATTCCATTCAAATCCCAAAATATGAGACAAATTCTTTGTTCATCATAATTGAGAAATCTCTCTAATTTTTTGCATGCTAATTGAGATCAGTGTTACCTACATACAGAAACTTGAAATAGTTAAAAATATTAAGTGCAGGTAATTTAAATAAGATTTTTCGGGTACTTTTTTGTCAAAGGGTATAAATATCAGTTATGACCCATTCATAAAATCCTGTCAATAATAGGACAAGCTCAATATTTTATAAATACATATGTTTGATGTAAGAATTGATTAAGAAAAATAAACTATTATAGTGCTATTATGCACCATCAATGAAACCAATTTGCACCATTGTGTTTAGAAAATGAAGTTATTGAATACTGGATTCTTCCGAGCAATTTGTTAAAAAACCCGGATTTTACGACTTGTTCTCATCTGAAATAGTTTAAAATAATCCTCTAAAACAGTCCTAACAAGAACTCAAATAAATTCTTCGTACCACCCGGTATGGTTCTCCACCCAAATCCGGTCGATTACACCATGAAATCGCTCCTCTATACCACAATTCGACCGCGATTGCATCAATCGTAGGCGAAAAATCGTGAAAACTACAACACACGTACCCTACCTATTTCGACGAGCGAGCTCGGTGGGTGCGTTTTCTCGTCGCTGTCTCTCCGTCACCTCCTCAACTCCTCATCTCCTCCACGCATTCGTTTTCCATTTTCACGAGCGACCGGATCGCGTTCCTGCTGTCCTGTCGGTTGCTGCGGAGGTGCATCGTCGCGGTGCTCGTCGTTTCGCGCGAATTCACGCCTGCCTGTTAACGAGTACAATACAATACATTGTGGGAGAAGCACCAGGTAAGGGGATCAGTTTTTGATGGGTTTTGTAGTCGATGGTTTTATTGTTATTGTTAACTGTTAGTTCCCTGTCGGTCAAGGAGAAATCAGTAAAGTGTAAAAATACGCTAATATAAGTATCGATTTGTTTGTGTGTGCAGTCTGTGAGTCAGATTTATTTTCGGTAACTTTTTGATTATTTGGAAGGTGTTGGATTTCTTTGAATGTCGATCAGTTTGATTTGTGTTTTTTTTTAGCCAGCGAATTTCGTTGTGATTGATTAATTGTTGGTTTTTTTTAACATTTTTTTCTGCTTTCATTTGCTCTATTTATAAGTATATTAAATAACTATTTTCAAATCACTATACCTTGATAAAATCTAATTACTACTACCTACATGAAACGTAATAAAAAGTAGTTAAATTGATAAGAAATTTTGTAACTGACACTAAAAATACAACAAAATTTGTCGTTATAGTTTATTTGAATATTTTTTTCTACAAATCTGGATTGTTTCATTATAAAAATACGCTGGTCGAATTTAGGAAAACTGAACATTCTTGTTAGTGCAATCAAATCATTACTAAAAATACCGCTCAGTTCGACTCCTCAGATCGATTGAGCCGGTTGTTATTGGGCAAAACATCGTTATGTAACTATTTTTAAATTGAGATTATCCGCAAGGCCGGACTCGAGAAATTTCTTCAATTTCCAACGAACCAACAGCTGCTATTTCCGATTATTTTCAGATAGAAAGCTGCGAAAATGTCTCATACGGTGACTGTCACCAGGACCACTACTACAACAACAACTTCAGCTATTATCATTAACACAGGTTACCTGAAAGCATGGCCGGGGCTACTCAAACTCGCCCAATTGGTAAGTGGTTTTATTGAGCGTCTTGTATGTGTATTTATTTATAACCGATTATACTTGTTTTTTTTTTCTCGAACGAATCGATTCCAGTCTGCGTAACTAGCAATTTGCATAAAATAACACGAAAATTTAATATCAATGATTCACCGGTGCAACCTTGAGTTGGAAAATTTATTATCGAATTGATTATAATTGCATCAAAAACCTGATAAACTCAAAATTTAGACCTAGACCTGAATTTTTGAAATCCTTGAATAACAAGCAAGGTGAAAGGTTATACTCAAAAAAAATGCGTAAATATTTTTATTGAAATAATCAATGAATTAAACGCGACATTAATATTACCATTGCATACAAAAAATATCAACTTTTATCGTCATCTCCTTCAATATGTTTTTCTTCATCATCATAGGTATTTCTTGTGCATGATGTGATTTATAACTTCAAGGTTTTTTGCGTTTTGAATCGCCTCGCAGACCAAAATGGATGTGGGTCAATGCGATCAATGTTCATCAAAACGAAGTGAAAAAACAGCCAGTGATTTACTTACTCCCATAGTTTTAATTGAACGATCGTAAAGGATGGAAAAATAAATAGTTTTCCGCTGCGATTTGTGGACAGACATTTGTTGCGAATTGTTGGAATGATTTTCAGTTTTAACAAAATCTATAAAAATGGAACATGTTCCATTACTGACAAACTAACAAAAAATGTTTCTCTATCCTGCATTTCAATATTAAATGGAATTTTTAAGAGATATTTTGAGGTGTACTTACCTACACTAATTATATTTCTCAACAATATATCCAATATTCCTATGAGCCAGTACTTTCCATTCAGTAAATATTTGATATTTATTTATTCCAGCGAAATCGTTGATAACGTTTTCATTTTGCAATAAGTATGCTAGTATTATTTACTTTACGCAGGTAATAAATTCAATATAAAGATGACAACAGTGTTTTCCTAAAAACGAATGCTCTAAATCCCGCTAATTCGCTAATCTCAAGAATTTTACGTTGTACTGGTTTCGTCATGAGTAATTAATTGATAAATTTATCTTCTTACTATTTTCTAAATATAACATTACAAGTAGGATTAGTAAGCGTATTACCCGAGGTAAAATTTTACTACACGTGGAAGATATTTTTATGCAAATTTTTTAAGTACTATATCTAATAAATCAAAATTTGGCGTTTCTAAATTCAATATTTTTACATTTAAATTCTTCAAAGACCATATGAATTATAGGAAGGTCGTACATTAATAAGATTTTCTTGTGTGCAGATTTTAGGTATAGTTACCGTTGGAATAGTGAGTTACTACCTCAACAGATACATAAGATTTGTGAACACCCCTGAGGTTTTCTTCCTGCTTATGGCCGTCACGTTTCTAGTGGGAACGTTCCTGCTGCTGACTTCCTGCTTGATATCGATATCAACTGCATCGATCATATCTAAGACCATATACGTAAGTAACGAAATATTATTTGGAAAGCTGCATTGTTCGCAGTGTTTATGAATTATTTATTCATTAAACAAACGAATAAATTCTTTGATGACCTCACCGTTCAAACATCCACGTCTTGGTCATTTACTTTAATTAAGTCGAATGGCGTGCTTTATTTATCTGTTAATTGTGAGAATTAGGTAAACCCGACTATAATAAGTTACTTTATATCAACCTTCGATAAATATGACGAGCAGTTAATATTAAAAAAAGGTGTATTATGCGTAATAAATTTCGGAGATCTGTTCCTCTTAAGTCGATTAATAAATGTGTAATTTAAACGCCTACACAATTACTAATTTTAAAAACGACAAGACTTTTCCACCACTATGTCGCAACGGTTAAATCCCGTTACGAAAATTCAGGAATTTTTCTTTGTAGAGCCGAATGGAAGCTTTCAGGCTCGGAAATTAGGTCGATCTACATTGACCGGAACGTTATAAAAATAATCGCATCCTAAATTTACAAGGTGGTCACATCTGTATTACTTAATTCGATCGAAATACGAGCGTACGTTAATTTTATTTCGTTTATTCGTGGATTTTAATTATTTATTGTTAATTGCAGGAAGTCGTGTATCACGGATTCGCGTTTATTCTACTGCTAGCCGCCAGTTTAACGTTCGTAATCGAAATCAACCACCGGAAACAGAATTACCGCGGCGCTGATTACGAACCTTATTTCGCCGCTTCTGTAAGTATTCCGTGTATAAGGTGAAGGCAGCAACTTCATTAACAGAGAAATATAATATAGTGTGTTCACACTTGGAATTGATAAGAGGAGAAAAAAATCTTTCTTAATAATTTTACTACAAAAAGTTATACTTAATAAAAAATCCTGCTTGTTGAGGAAGTAAGATTCACATAATACACAGTGACAAAAAAGTACCCGGAAAATTGGAATAAAACGCAAATTTCGGAACTCTTTGTTGATTCAATCAGCTACTACAACCAAATTGATTGAATCTCTCTAATTTTTTCCATGCTAATTAAGGACAGTGTTAAGTACCTACATACAGAAACTTGAAATAGTTAAATAATTTATTAAAAGGGGAGAAGTGGGTGAAGATGGAAGGTAGTTATGTAAAATAAATAAAAAAATTGCAATTTTGTATTTAAGATTTGTTTTAAATTATTTAAAAAATTCTTGTGATTAAAAAGATTTTGTGTAAAATAATGAATAGTACCTACTACTAAGTACTCCCTTAAAACTTTTTCCAATTTTTTTAATTTAAAAACACCTTGTACAACTAATCTAAGATTGTGATATGTAAATCATTTTCTCAATAAGGAGGATTTATTTATTAAGAATGATTTTTGTCGTAAAATTAATAAAAAATTTTCAAACTCTTTTCAACTCCATCTCACACAATTTGTGTAATTTAAATTACATTTTTCTTTATTATTTTTCAGATAATTGGGCTGGTTAACGCGGCGCTCTACCTGATAAGTACAATTTTCGCCTTGAGAAGTTACAGAGGACTTTAATTTCGATATTATTTATTGTTGTTTAATGAGTGGTGAAATCATTTTTCCGATTAAAATACCTTAATGAATTTGTCACAGATCGTTCAACTCAACTGAAACAGTTTTGTACTTACATTGCCAGATCTCTGATTTTGCGATAAAATGATTTCAACGTATTTTTTATGATTAACAAGACATTTATAAAATAGAGTTAGAAGAACTAAATGCTGCCATCATCGTAATCTTGTTGCATTGATAAGTGTGCCTTAAATGTGTAAGCTTTTGATATGTATTTTTAATATAAATTTTCTATGTATTTTTTGCTATTTACATACCGTTTCATACATGTTACAAAATTGCCAATGTGTACTAGTCACTTAAAAAAAATGCATTTATATACAAGAGATTCTTTTTTCACTTCCGGTTAAAATTAAATATATTGATAAATTAAGCCCGATAGGTATAATTTTATTTTTTTAAAAGCTATATTTTATAATGTGTACATTTTTAAATACTTCGATTGTAAAAGTAATGTAATGTGTCAATTAAATTTAGTAAAACAACCCAGTCTTTTTTTTGTCCATCAAATTTATATATTAAATACGAAAAAGAAAATACAGAATACAATCAGATATTTTAATTATGTCTATATAAATACATGCATTATTCATCGAAGGCAGTGCCTTACATCTTAATTAATCTTAATTAACATTCTACCCTGTATACGAAAAAACTTTCAGAATTAAAACCACATAGAAACAAATTTATAGTTATTGTGCGAAAGACAAAAGAGTAGGAGACAATAATTTTCTTGATGTAAAATAATATATCTGAACGAATATTAAATAATTAAACGCTAAACAATTAAAAAATGAAAACTATCAACTAGTGATACATATTATATACTATAAATACTGGTTACTTAATTAAATGTTTAAGTAATTTACTCCGATTCCACCACAAACTCCAACAAATGAAATTAAAGTTTTCAACGGAAACGGCGATAAATTTGATCAGTTGATGATTAAGTTTTATAAATCGGTATCATACCAAGCAGCAGCATGGTTATTATCTTGAGGAGGGGTAGGGAGTTGATCAATGGTATCGAAATTGAGATCAGGTTCACCGCTGGTAACGTCCATTGCGTCTATTGCACTGTAAGTGGACCCATTCCCCCCTCCGTGAGAACCGATCTCTAAACCCTGCATGTCTATGGGTATCTGGTCATACCCTGAAAATAATCATACAAAAAAATTAGATATATTAATAATTAATTATTAGTTTCGATATTAACGTTAGTGGAGTAATATCAAACGTGTTAATATTTTATTAATAATCTTGCTATGGAAAGCAAATGACTATATGTAAGGTAATGGATATTAAGATCGTAAGATATGAGACAAAAAATCAGTAAATATTAAAAAGTAGTGCAGTTAAAAAGAAACTAATGTAATTATTATGATAATAGTAAAACCATTGGAAATGTAACACGCATGTATACTTACTAACAACCATTATAAGTTACTTAATATTTATTCATCACGATCACATTAATGTAAGCGAAGATGTGAATTAATAATGAAAGCTAGCTAATGTAAAAAAAATCTACAAACTCATGCTAATACAACAACAACTCGATATCTACTACATACATTCTCCTTAAATATTAGATGTTAGAAGATAATGCTTCCCTTAAAATCCATGTCTGGAGTAAAGAAAAATTATTTTTAAAATGGCAAAAACCACCGACCAGTTTTCAAATTCGTATTTCAGATTCAGGAATCGGGAAAAGTCTTACCTTGTTGTTGATATGGTCGGCCGCCATGACTACTATGAACACTGGGGGGACCCTGAGCATACATGTTGTCATATGCTTGGTCGGGACTTAAAATATCCTAAAAATAGCAAACAAAAAAAATGCAAAAAAAAACAAAACAAAAATAAAATTTTTTACCGTCAAATAAATAATATACTAAAAACGGTAGCAAGAGCGTGCAAATTCGATATTTTGATAATACATACCACACTCTACTCGCATCTTTAACAACACATATAACATACCTGCAAATCCGGACCCATGCCTAGATCGGGATTCCAAAGATTTTCTTCTCTAAACAAAGAATTAGTCAACTCCATCGACAGCCGTTTTTTATAATCTTGTGGTTTGTCTTCGCTCATTCTAAACAAAACAGCAGCTGCGTACGTAGCAACACCTAATTAATCAAACGAAAAGAACAATTAAATACAACCGACAATTACAATAAAACCCTATCGTAATTACCTTCGTTTCTCGAATGCAACAACTCAGTCAATGGGGCCGTGGCGCCCTCGTTTTCAATCATTTCCGCCCCCTCTTTGTCGGCCGCCAATTCGCAAAGAACGCCGGCGGCGACGCGTTGTATGTTCTCGATATCGTTGAACAGCAATTGCACGAAGATCGGAATCACCATTTGCTGTCTAATGATGGCCCGATTGTGCGATTCTCTCGCCAATATATGCAACGCTCCCACCGTACCCTCGACAATCTCCTCCATGCGCACCCCGTCCGCGTACGTTCCCGGCGGTTGGCTGCCTCCGCTAGCCACGCTACCCCGTTGCTGCAACGTCAAAAATAGACTCTCAGTTTGATGTAATTTCGAAAGACGAGCAAGCCTTACTCTTTGAGTGTCTTGGAAGGCCCTCATCAGCAGCTGCACCAAATGATGAATGGCGCCGTGCTCTCTCAACGGAGCGTGATTGGCCGGACACAGCGCCAGGTTCCTGATCAGACCGATGACCGCCTTCACCAGCGGCCAACGCGACGGCGGATTCAACAGCTTGACGATCACCTGAAAGAAGTTTATCGACTAACAATGCATAGTAATTATAATCGTTTGTCGACCAACTTGTATGCCGTAGTTCAGCCGCACCGCGTTCTGCGCCATCTCGGACTCCACGTGCCTGGACGTCAGGTGGCGTAGGGCGCACACCGCCGGCTCGGTGATCTCCTCGCGATCGCCGGCGCTCACGATGGTGCGCACCAGCGCGTCGACGCCGCCCACCTGGCACACCGTCACCTTGTTGCGTTGATTGTTGCACGTCAAATTCGACAGGATGCCGGCGGCGCAAGTCACCACGTTTACGTCGGACGATTGGAGCACCTACGATTAGACGTTACAGCCACTGCAATTCGACATTTCCGCCGTAATACTTACTTGCACCAAAGATTGCAACAAACTCTCCAACCCGTCGACTTTAGTAGCCGCGTCCGATAGATTTCTGAGGGTCCAAAGGCAGTTTTGAACCAACCGGGTGCTGGGGTTGCCCAAATGCATGGCGAGGGCTTGCATACCGCCAGCCTCGACGATAGCCGGTTTATTGCTGGAACACACCGACAACACCTACGAAACGATCGATTAAAATTAACCATCTACTCGACAAATCTATGTACTTACTTTCAATACTCTCGAAGTAGTCCACAAGAGCTTCTCGTAGTCGTAGGATCTCATTATTCTGACCAGTTCGATGGGCCCTTGGGAGGCGAGTATGATGAGCTTGCTCTCTTGGTTGCCGTAGGCCAAGATTTGCAAACAGTCGGTGAGAATGGCCAAGAACTTGACGTGGTTTCTCTGGAGCAACGCTACCATCTTCTGCAATCCTCCGGCCAATCTGACCGCCATTTTCGAACCGTCTTGATGCAGCAACAAGTTGTGAAGGGTGGTTATGGCGTAGAACAACACGCTTTCGACCGGCGAACTCAGTAATTTCACGAGCGCCGGTATCCCACCGCTCTTGAAAATGGCCAGCAAACCCTGCCTGTGGTGCGATAATTTGTGCAAAGTACCAACAGCACCTTTGGTGGTTTCCAAATCGTTGGAATTGGAAATGGCCCGAACCAAAGCGGCCACCATTTGGGGGCTGTTCATGATGGCGTGTCGAGAAGCTTCTTTCTTCGAGAGCTGGTGCACCATCATGGCGGCTTGCGATACCACCACTTGGTCTTCGTCGTTGAGCAGCTTGATCAATTCTGGTATAGCCCTGGTCGCCAAATCGGCGTCGTCTTGGTAATTGATTAAATTAACCACGGCGTGTTTGAGCATCTGGCTGGGCTCCGCCAAACGTTGAACAGCCGTTTGATGGTTCGGATCGAACTGCGTAGAAGGAATCTCGATACCTTGAGAATAAAAAGCTTTACATATTACACATACTTGTAGTGATTTCATTACCTTCATCCAATGTTTCAGGGAACATAGCAGCCCTCACTCTTTGGGATCTGGTGTGGTTCAGCTGGTTATTCATTTCATCCACTTGCTCTTGCGTGAACCCTTGGTAGGGCTGGTCGAGATCGAAGAGGTCCATCTCTTCCTCTTCTTTGCCCGATAGCGATGGGACTTGAGTGGCAGCGCCCGACTGGATGCCAGAGTCTCCTAAATAGGAGTTCTGCTGCCATAGCAGGGTCTGCTCTTTGGACGACTGCATTGGCAGATCGTTGCCACCCTGATGATAACCTTGAGACACTAACGAAAAGAGTTTCGCATTAATATCGGATGCTAAGCGAGTAGCCAAACAATTAAGAGAAATGTTTAGTTAATCTAATCAATTGTAGAATCGTACATTGCCCAATTGTTCAAGAAGCTTTATGTAACATGTGTTCTAGAGCTACAAATAATTAAAATTGTAATCATTTGATAAGGATAAGTGACTCATAAACGATTACACACGGAATTTTGAAAACTTGTTAGTACACTTGTCCTACTCTCAATTTTTTTATTTGTTATTAAAATAAACAAAATTATAATTGCAAAATATAAACGGTACTTACTTGGTCTATTTTGGTTAGTCTGCATGTAACTCATGGTGACCTGGTGAGAACTGTCACACCTATTAAATACATAAATAAATTCTCAGAAAATTACTCATTTCACGTATTAATTAACATAAACAATGCAAAGCACATTGAGGTAAAACTTACTTAAACTGTAACTAAATGTACAATTGAACTAATTATTTTATCGTAAATAAACAAATCTAAAAATAAAGAAGCTCTAATGCATCAGATAATGCACCGGACTGTTCCACATTCTACAAAGAGCGTAAAGAAAAGATATCTACTCCATCCTCCATGTTGTATACAAAAATATATGTGTACAGTAACTTATCCACGTTTTCTACGTTTCAGTTGGAATTTAAGACAGGGAGATTTTATAAACAGATAAATGGCCATTAAAATAAATTACCTTGCACCACAAATTCACCCGATTGCACCTTATTTCCGAAAAAATGTTAACAAAATATTACAAATACCGCACCCCGATCCAGTGAACTGAGAACTAGAAGTACAAATCACACAATGAAATATACGCAAATAAGCGGCACCAAATTGCAAAGATTCTTCAGTTTATATACATAAATATTACAGACGTTGAAAAATAAAATCGTTTTCTTTGATGAATTGTTTTATTAAAACCGAACAAGAATAATTAAATGCATAAATATAAGAAAAATATTTTGTATAGTGTAACACGTACTTTGACACTTAGCGCCATCTACGTAAAGATTGTAAAAGTTAATGTCCAGTTCTCATTGGAATTTACAGTTTTTTTTAATCTTGTTATCAATTTTTCCAAAGAATATGCAGAAAAATTTACAATGTATTAATTATTATTGTTAATTAAAAAGTCAGTAATGATGCAGGTGGTAAAGTGATCACAGCGTGTCCGGCCAATGGAGTTGGTAAGCAAGCGATTCCTCGAACCCATGTTTCTGTAAAATATAGGGAGTCTCAATGAAAAGTTGAAAAGTAGCCCCTTTAATGAGCTTATAATTTTTAAACGTCTAATCATAAAAACATGCGATTTTCGCAGATATGTTTTTATTTAAAAGTTATAAGCTGAATATATGGACTACTTTTCATTGCGGGGACACACTGTACAATTATTATTCAGTTTGTGCAGTGATCAAAAAGTGCGTGGTGATTACTTTGAACTAATGCCAGAGTATTTTTTCCATTTAAGACAAGATTTTCCATTCAGCAGGTAATATATAGGTTGTTCCATTTTTGATCGCAACATAGGTTATATAGGCAATGGGTGCGATAAAGACAACTACCATTAGACACTTATAAAGGAAAAGGAAAGAGTGACATTTGTGTCATTGCAAGTTTTCAATATGTCAAATGTCATTTTAATAGTCTTTTTTTTTGTTCCACTCATAGAAATGACCATGTTGCAATCGGAAATGGAGCAAGGTGTATGTAATTACCTCTTTGCGTACAAAAACATTCATTGTTGCTCAAAGCTCTCCCGTAAGCTGTAGTGACTCCTCCAATGATGAGTAACTGAGTACCTAGGTAAGATACCGCATGACCGTGCCTAGGCATGTTTAAACGAGTTATTTCACTCCATTCGCATTTCCTTTCATCCCACAAGTCCAAGGCTCCTATGCTGCTAGTGCAGCCTTTTCGCGAGGACTCCTCGGCCCCGCCGATAAGGTACAATTTGTCCGATAGCACCATCATGGAGGAGAAGCAGCGAGGAAATCGCAGGGGTCGTTTCAGTTCCGTCCATCTGAAATAAATCCATTCTTGTAGGCGTTTGAATGAATTTAAATTACTAAGAATTTACTGGTTGGTTCTGATATCGTAGGTTTCGACTGAATCTAGTATATCGATAGAATTATCGGTTCCACTTATGCCACCAGCGATCCATATGTTATTTTTTAACTTGGCGTAGGCGAAGCCGGTTCTGGCTACCGACATTGGTCTCATTTCCATCCATATTTTCTTATCTACGTCGTATTTTTCGACACTGTTTAATAATCTAAAATAACCAGAAAATCAGGATACAAAAGTATATTTCTTTAACAAACAATTCTCACTGGTAATCTGCTCCTTGTCCTCCAATGGCGAACAATCCCAAATTGCAACCCACCAATCCGAAATTCTTCCTCGCTTCCGACATAGGTTCTTCTTTGAACCATTTCCTGCTCACCGGATCGAAACTCCATACTGTCGCAGACACTCCTCCGTCCTCGAATATTCTGTTACCCCTTGGATCGCTCCCGCCTATTCGGAATAAAACAACGATCGAAAAAGAAAAGTAACTCGAATGTTACCAACCTGCTAACAAGATCCTTCTTTTGTAAAGCACGGAGCAATGGTGGTGTCTGGGTTCGGGCATTTCGCCCACGAATTGCCAAACGTTTCCCACGGGCATGTAGCGGAATATCTCTTTCCCGGTGTTCTTGCCGAAGCCGTAGGGATTGTGCGGATCGAGACCGCCGAACACCAATACAGTTTCTCTCGTTTCGTGAAATAGGGAACCTTCATCTAATAGATTCCTCTTGGTGTCCGACGAGAATTTCCTACAAGAGATTGGCTATTGAATCCGAATTATCGAGTCGAGCAATTTACTGATCGTGTTCGAATCGATTTTTCACCACGTTGAACATATTTAGCACGCCTTTTTTGGTTTTCTTTAGGACTTCGTACGATTTCTTACTGCTGGCTTCTACGTTTAAAGTTCTAAGTAACTTTCGCCTTCGGTATTTTCGGAAAGCTCTTTGGATAATTACGGCGGCTTGTGGTCGTAGAAGATGATTCTTTGGCGATTTTTGTTCCATCAACGGAGGTAATTTCACCATTTTTCGCTAAAAAATCGTGCTTTTAATAGTTAATAAACTGACCAATCAATAAGAGGTAAACGCTTTTGCAAGTGCTGTTTACCTATTATTGATCGTTAAACACATCAAAGTGGCACTTACATGACTGGCATTTACCTTTTATTGAACTTGTACTCATCATTTTCTGCAAGTCTTCGAAGAAAACGGAAGATATAAAGATTTAGGAATTTTAATAGCCCCTAGTCGATTGTAAAAATTATTTATTTAATAAAAAGTAATAAAATGTGTATAATATAGAAAATAGGTAAGCAAAAACAAGACACTTTCCTTCAGTTTTCGTTCGTTATACAAACAAATTCCGCATATACGTGCACTACAGTCACTACGAAGTCACTTTGTTAACCTTCTTCTGATGCCCGTAACCGCTACTTACTTTCTTCTTCGACAAAAACTCCTCCATGGTCGGCACTCTCGGTGAGTTCTTCTCGGCGCCGCTGGCTAGCGATTTCCTCGCCTCCCTGCCGTCGCCCTTGTCGCACGACATTTTCGGCTTGTTCTTCTCGATCAACTGGTTCCTGCGGTACTGGTCGAGGTAGATCAGGAACTCCCTGTAGGTGAAGTACGTCTTGTCCGAGCCGCTCCAGTTGCGCGGCGGCGGCTCTTGCAGCCCCAGCACGGCGTTCCAATGCTGGAAATCGTCGTTTTCCTGACCGTACCAATATTTGATGATTACGTACCTAGAAACGTTCGAAAGAAGAAATTAGCAAGCATTTAGGAGATAAGGAGCTAGAGTTTTTCGTCTGTATTCGGTAGATAGTAAATGAACTTACGCTAATCCATCATCGATCATCTTGCAAATTTTCGGGTCCTTGGCAAGTTCCATGAAATCCGGGTTCTCCGGGTTCCTCTTGATGTCCACCAATTGCCAGGGAGCGATGTTGCCGAATCGCACGCAGTCCAACACTTCGTATTTGTAATGATCGCGCGAACCCCAATCGTGCTTCAACCACCTCACGGCGGACATAAACACCTCCATTTCACTACCGTAAACAAGAATTACGAACATGACCGGAATTACTTACACATTTACCAATTGACGCAAATGTAATTGGATTTCAGCAAGTTCTTGACATCGTCCAGTTCCAACTCCAGCCAGTTCTGGGAGCTGACCAGCATGAGGAAGAAGCCTTGTATCCTCGGCAGCATCAGCTCTCGCACTTCGGTGAGGTTCTTCTCTTTGGCGTCCATGTACAGCAAGAAGGCGGTGTCTTCGGAGAATACTTCGTTATGGTCGATGAACGCCCAGCATTGCTCCACCAAGTCTTCAACATCGTTCAATTAGACAGTTAAAAAGGTATGTACATTCTAAGTTTACCTTTGATTTTCAAGTATTTAGCGCTGTTGAATATGTCCAGGACGTTGTCTCTGGTTAATTCTTTGTAAGAGGGCTCGCCTGTAATCATCCATTCGTAAATGAAGGCAAACGCTGCAGCGCTGCATTTATCCTGAAATGATTCGCACATTTACCCTTTCTACTCCAATATTATTTTGTTTGGATCTCACCGACGGTAATTCGACTTTTTTAACTGCAATGTATGCGTCGAATAGCTCCGAATAGCATTGAAGAACGATCAAATGGCAATTGAATTCTTCGTTATCTATGTAGACTTTGCAATCCGCGTTTCTATTCGTTGAAAATTAGGATAAATATCTAACATAGAAGGGGATTTTAAAATGCTTACGTGTAATTTGTTATTCGTGAATAAAGCTCGAGGTACAGATTCTTTTTCTCGGGTAAAACAACTTTGTGCCAAGTTATATTGTCAGTGCCGGTATAGCCCAGTCTAAAATACAACCGAATTTAGGCATTTGGAAGAGATAAGTACTCTCCTTGTGGAAAATGGTTAATTGAGATGAATATGAAAATATGTTAATTGACAAACCTTCCCAGATTTAATTCTGGGTCGAGAATTTCGGATGTTTGTTTGCTTTCATACTCAGACGCCTCCTTGTTTCCGCTTCTCACTGGAGTGTTACCAATTAGGGTACCCAAACTGGAAAATCCGGCCTAGAAGCGGTTTTAACAAAGTTATCTACAATTTCTGATCGACCTTAAAGGAATTTACTTGGCTCATGATGGTGTCCATAGCAGAGGTCTTCGATAAGTCCGTTTCGTGCGCCATTTTCTTACTGAAATTTAATTCCGGATGTACGCAAACCTTGGTAGTCTTCGGATCGGCTACTAAAACGCTTAATTTGTTGGTAGAAAAAACCACCTGAAACACAAACTGTACAAACTCCGCGAATTTCGTTAAGCGTGCGCTTACTTGCGACGAAGCAACCTTGAAGTTGCCACTCGGAGTTAATTTGAACGGAAAACCACTGTCTAACTTGTTGTTCCGTGAGCTAGATTAAACTCTGCTTTTGAAAAAATTTAGTGACTTTTTGCAAAAAAAAACTTAGGTGGAAGACAACATAGATAGGTTCTGTAGACAAACTTACGCGGATTTTGACATTCTATCTTCGGATACAACGTCGATGACTCGCGTGTGGAGTTTCTTTTTGCTGGGAAAAAGAAAATCCTGCCGGCTGATCGGTTCTGTGTTAATCAATTCGGCGCCGCGTTCGTTATTGGAATATAACAACAGCAAATTGTCTGAGGTAACAGTTGGCGTACCGTTTTGGATGTTACCATAACCTGGTAACAAGTCGGTTAAAGAAACGCCGGTTGTACCGTACATAGGTTATCAGTTATCAGAGATGAAAGAAAATTAGATGGCCTACCTTTTGGTAAATTGTTTATGTTAGGTATTAGTTTCGTTTCAGTTCGTTCCAATGAGTGACGTAGCTATAAAATAACGAGTAGATAATTATTCTATATAAAAAGTTGATTGTAATTAATTACTCTTGTTTGATTGGATTCGACTGATTCGGGTTCTGTGTTGATCGGTAGGGAATTTTTGGGTCGTTTCGATCTGTCTCTTCTATTTTCCGAATTTTCGGAAGGAAAAAGCCTACGGATTACTAGTAATAAAATATGCAGAAAAATATTTCTACCGTACCTCAAATTAAGCAAATCGATGTTTCCCAAGCAATCCTCGCCTTCCTTTCCTTCAGAAAACCTATAATTCTCCTGAAACGTCAACATTTTGAGATTATCATTCTGGAGGAAATTTTTATCACCTGCCTGCTCTCGTTCAGGAAAACTCTTTACCATTATATTTCAAACGTGCACGGAAATTTTTTTTATAATTATTCTGGTAGAAAATTATATTTTGCTGGCTGTATCAAAAAACTGGTCACGAAACAACGGATGGTGGTAGGTTGTCAAACATGTCAAATGTTTCACGGGAATAGAGTCTTGGAAATGGGATGTACAGGGTGTCATAATTAAATAGCTGAACTAAACTAAATGAAACCATAATATAATACTAAAATTTAATTTTATTATATAAAGCTTCAATGTTCAATGTTATTGAAAAACAAAAGGAACCTACTTACTACATCAGAAGAATATTGAATTAAAAATCTATATCGCTTTTAATAAGGGTAATTTTCGAATTGTCAATAACAACATCGATGAGGTCCACAACCCCCAAAATATAACCAACATCGATAAGATCATTCAAGAGTCTACTTTTAATAAAGCGTTCACTTCCTTCATTAGGTATTCTCAGTTTTCCACAATCAACATTTTCCTTGTTCTCACATTGGAGTGACGAAGAACAGAACAACTTTCCTTCGGGACATTTTTCAACTTCAAGTTCACCATCTTTACAAAGATAGTATCGGTCACATAAAGCATTATGGGGTGTTATAAAGTTTTGACTGCCGCATTCTAAAGGAAAAATATACTTTGTAAAATTTGTAATGAAATTAAAATTAATTGTAGACTTACTGGTAACGGAGCTTCTTTGATGACTATTAGCGGCAACGTAATAGAGAAGGCAGGAAAACAGGATTGCTTTTAATATACCAGCCATATTTCTTTAATAATTCAGTATTATTGAATTTGGATTTTATTAATGAGTATGGAACTCTATTGTAATTTAAGAATACTGACAATGGTTGAATATTTTTAAATTTTATACGTTTGGTTTATTTGTATGCTAAATGTTATTTATTTATTTAAGGATTAATATATTTTTGAATTAATTCAACAACACCTTTAGTCTTAATCCAAATTTACATACATATAATTTTGGTGTATATCATGCAGGAAGTACCTACTTATCTTTCATTTAAATAAATTTGAAAATTTTACTATATCCAAATCAACATTTATTATTTGGTGTTAAATATGTATTTGGTATAAAAATGTATTTGGTATTAAATGTTTAAAATAGAATTAAATTTGTATACGTTTTTAAACCACATAAAAATAAATTAATTCCAAAATCCATCAATAAACAAATAGCATATATGTAGCATACAAACAAATCAAATGTACCTACCTATAAAATCCAAAAAATCTCCGACAATTGTCAGTATTCTCACAATACCTACATTTCCAGATTCTTTAATCAAATCGTAATTTTGAGTAATTATAGAAATATGGCAGGTATAATTAAAGCACTGTTGTTTTTCTGTATTTTCTATTGCGTTGCTGCCAGAAGTCTTCAACGGAGTAAGTCTATAATCTCTTTTAATTTTATTACAAATTTTAAAAAATATACTTTTCTTTAGAATGCGGCAGTGAAAACTACATAAAACCCCATAAAGCTTTATGCGACCGGTATTATCTTTGCAATGACGGTGAACTTGAAATTGAAAAATGCCCCGAAGGAAAGTTGTTCAATTCTTCGACACTCCAATGTGAGAACAAAGAAGACGTTGATTGTGGAAAACTGAGAATACCTAATGGAGGAAATGGACGCTTTATTAAAAATAGACTCTTGAATGACGTAGTTGATATTGGTGATATAAAGTTTGTTTTGGATGGCCTGGACTTACTTGTTTTATGTAGCACAATTACCGGTATTGATAGTGATATATCTTTTTGAGCGACTATTTTCATATATGTATACATAAATATCTGCCTATCCATTTACTAGATAGGTAATTCAAATTATTGTTAATTATGTATGTTCTTTACTTCAAAAATTATTAATTTAATGTAGGTTTAACCTATCTATTCATTTTCCATTAAAATTTACGTTTCAATTATTTTTTTTGTTTTCTTTTAAAATATTTATTAAAATATTTCGATCCTATTGGCAAATGGGATGCACAAATTAATAATTTGAAGCTAAAAGTTTTTAACTTATATGTATTATTGTAATGCCTTTGAAGTGTCTCCGGTTTAAGAATGGAATAAAAAATGATCTATCCAGATCAAGATTTTCCAATATTTCTCCAGTACCCATAAATTTATTTTCCTGTTGTGTTCAGAATTTGGATTTTATTTTTAATACAAATCTGTTTTGCGTTATTCACATGTATAATTATTTCTGAATATGCACCCTAAAAATGCACCACTTCGGAGTTATTCAATTTTTTCGAAAATTTTTAAAATAAAAGTCTAATGTATTTTCTATGATATCTCTGTTATTAATGCACCGAGAAGTTTGAATTTTGGTATCTATAAAGTTCAGACACAGTACTAAATGACATTAAACTGAGTTTTCATATTCAATTCACAGGGCGTCCAAAATATCTGACGAACTTGGTCAACTTAGTGGCCATTTTCAACCCCTTTTGATTCATACGAGTATAATATTCATCATTATTCATGGATTGTTTCGTATAAGAATTCCTGTTTGCGCTCCAGATATCATTACCGGCAAAATTCATTTCTCAAACACTCTAGAACAGATGTATACAGGGTGGTCCGTAAGTAATAGTCCAAAGTGAGGGGGAAGATTCTCAGCCTCAAAATATTACGATATGATCCTTGCTTTGATGAACTTGCTTTAATATAATATTGAAAATAAAAAAGATACATAGTGACAAAGTTGAAATGGAAAAAATGATTTTCGCAGCAGTTTGAAAAAATTTGAATGTACTGAAGTGAAAATTTGGAGGTAGGTGTTTTAAGATATGGGAAACCATAATATGATATCCGTTATGAGGTATTTTCTACACGGTTTCACATGAGCTATATTGTTGAAGTAAATGTACGTTTAAAATTTTTATCCTTACAGCTACCCTTCTCTTTATTGAGAAATATTGAAACAATATCTTTTTTTTGGAAAAAAGGTATACCTATCATTAGTCCCAAAAGTTAATAGTTTTCGAGTTAATTGCATTTTTGTAATGAAATGAAGAAATCACTAAAGAACCAAAAAAAGTGTTGGAACCAAAAGGTATTTTATGCTTCTTTAGTGTCCTCTTCAACTTGCCGAAGGCAAGATTGTCCAAGGCAATCCTTCTTCTATAAACTTTTTAGAAACTAGGTATTTGGAATAGATAAATATGATGTACTCGTATGTAAGATATCATTTCTAGTATACCTAAAATTAGGTAAATTAATGTTTACTGAGCAATTTCCATCTTACTTACCCTCAGAACAGCTGTTAGATAGTTCTTTTAAAACTTCTCAATTTTGAGCTAATCTTTTTTTTTATTACCTACATTTCAAACAAAAATTATTTTTATAATCAATATGGTATTTATCTATAAACTGAACACGAAAGAAGGAATTATGGTTTGTTGTCAATCATAATGTCAAGAGTTTAAGTAGTATCGTCGTAGTATCGGTAGTATCGTCTCGAAAATGGGATGTAAAGGGTGATATAAATAAATGGCAGCTCAAATTAAATAAAATTAATGAAACCATGATAATATTAAAATCAAATTTTTATTACAATGCTTCAATGTTATCAAAAGAATGGTACATATGTAGATACATGATGAAAAGAATATTACCTACTAAAAATCTATATCACTTTTAATAAGGGTAATTTGCGAATCTACAACAACAACGTCGATGATATCAAAAACCCCCGTAATATAATCAATATCGATTAAATCATTCAAGAATCTATTTTTAATAGAGCGTTCACTGCCTTCATTAGGTATTTTCAGATTTCCGCAATCAACATTTTCCTTGTTCTCACATTGGAGTGACGAAGAACAGAACAACTTTCCTTCTGGACATTTTTCAACTTCAAGTTCACCATCTTTACAAAGATAGTATCGATCACACAAAGCATTATGGGGTGTTATAAAGTTTTGACTGCCGCATTCTAAAGGAAAATATACTTTGTAAAATTTGTAATACGATAATATTGAAAAAAAATGTAGACTCACTGGTAACGGAGCTTCGTTGAAGACTTTTAGCGGCAACGTAATAGAAAATGCAGAAAAACAGGATTGTTTTTAATATACCAGCCATATTTCTTTAATAACTCAAAATTAGTGAATTTGGATTTTTAATGAGTATTTTCTATTGTAAGAGTACTGACAATTGTTGAAGATTTTTTAGAATTTATACATTTGATTTATTTGCTCGTTAAATTCAATTTATTTATTTATGGATTGTAGCATTAATTTGCTTTAATATGTTTACTGTGTTTTCAAAACATCTATATTTTCAATTGAAATATACAACTTTTGTTATACAGGGTGTTTCAAAAAAAGGTTTCCCCGTTCTAGGGTAGTTACAAAATTACAAGAACATTGCAAGGAACATTACAAAATAAGTGGGTTTGCTCAGTGAAAAATTTTTGTAACGTCAACCGTTTTCAAGATACAGGGTGTTGAAAAAATTTTTTTTTACACATTTTTTACGAAACTACTAGCAAGATCGCAATGAAATTTTGTACGAATATCTTTTGCATACTAACGCATTAAATAATTTGTTTTTTTTATTTGTCTTTTGTAAAGGGCGCTAAAACTTTAAAACTTTAAACCCTGAAAAAAATTATGTTTAAAATTACTGGGTAGGGTGAAAACGGATGCTATTACAATTTTTTTACTGAGCAACCTCCACTTATTTTGTAATGTTCCACGTACCCTAGATAGGGGGAACTTTTTTTGAAATACTCTGTACATATTTTAGTGTACATATAGGAAGTAACAAACACTGAATTAAATAAATATGATTTAAATAATAAGAGTATCTGTATGGTTTTATCCAACGGGACAATCAGTGTTTAGTACTTTATATTTACATTTAATTTAAACAACATAAAAATAAATTAATTCCAAAATCCATCAATAAATAAATAAAACAAATAAATCAAACAATGGATCTACCTATATAATCTGCAAATTTCCAAGAATTGTCAGTTGGTCTCACAGTACTGTTCATAACTATTATTATAATCGAAATTCACTACTTTAGAAATATGGCTGGTTTATTAAAAGCAATCCTATTTTTCTGCATTTTCTATTGCGTTGCCGCTAAAAGTCTTCAACGGAGTAAGTATTTCTTTCAATTTGATTACAAATTTTACAAAGTATATTTTCCTTTAGAATGCGGCAGTGCAAACTTCATAACACCCCATCAAGCTTTGTGTGACCGATACTATCTTTGTAAAGACGGTGAACTGGATGTTGAAAAATGTCCCGAAGGAAAGTTGTTCAATTCTTCGACTCTCCAATGTGAGAATAAAGAAGACGTTGACTGCGGAAAACTGAGAATACCTAATGGAGGAAATGGACGCTCTATTAAAAATAGACTCTTGAATGACGTTCTCGATATTGATTATATCAAGTGGATTTTGGATGTTGCCGACCTTGCTGTTGTAAATAGCAAAATTACTGTTATTGACAGTGATCTAGACTTATGATCGACTATTCTTCCGATATCAATACTTATCCATTTACTAGATATGTAGAAAATCCAAATTATTGTTTCCAATTCTTTACATTGAAAATTATTAATATGTTGTTTCAAGTTATCATTAAAATCTAGGATTTTATTATTCTTTGGTTTCTTTTTAAAACATTTGAATATCGTTGAAAAAATTATCCTCAAATAAGGGTCATTAAACTATTTGTTTTTAACTTATTTGTATTATTGTAAAAGCTTTCGACGTGTCATCGCTTTAAAAATGATTGATCCAGATCAAGATTTTACAATATTTCTTCAGTATTAAAAGTAAATCAAAAAGAAAATAATTTACAAATAATTTCGCTCTTTAACGCTAATCAATTGTTTAAAGGGTATCTTTAACTTGACAGTTATACGTAACTGTTATGTTGTAACTATGAAAATTGTTTATATTATGATACGATTGATAAAGACGTTAAAAAGGAGGGTTGAAGGGTAAATAAATGTATTTTAATCAAGGAATTATTAGACAAATTTAGAAGTACCTATCCAGTAACTGGTGCCCGTCTCACTGGTTAGCGAATTGTTGGCTGGCCTGGATAAAGGAAAAAGAAAGAGCAAACAATAAAGCACTTACCCATATACAGAATAATGTTTCTAGCGTACTTAAAATTAAGGAAATGGATGTTTCCCAAGCAATCTTCATAATATTTTCTTTAGTAACACGTCAATAAAGCATTAACAAATAAGTTTTGTTGGTTCTTAAAATTTGATTATCTTGAAAACTATTAACTTTTGAGGCTAACGATAGGATACATTTTTTTCGCAAAAATGATATTGTTTAAAACTTTTCAGTAAAAAGAACGTTACCTGTATGGATAAAAAGGTTAGAGGTACATTTACATCAACAACAAGCTAATGTAGTGCCCTGTAGAAAATATATCAAAACGGATATCATGTTATGATTTCTTATGCCTTAAAACACCTGCCTTCAAATTTTCACTTTTGTACATCCAAAATCTTTCAAACTGCAGCGAAAAATATTTTTTTGATTTAAATTTTACCCCTCTGTATTTTTATTGTTTTCAATATTTTATTAAAACAAATTGGGTTACATATATCGCAATATTTTGAGGCCGAGACCACCCTGTACAATATTTTGCTGACTCTATCAAAAATGGTTGGATGATGGTTGGTTGTCAAACATGTCGAGTGTTTTCACTAAAATAGTCTTGAAAATGGGAAATATGGGGCGATATAAATAAATAACCGCCCAAAATAAATAAATTAATCAAATCATAATAATATTAAAATCAATTTTTATTACAATACTCATTAAAAATGGTACATAGGTAAGAAGAATATTCTATTAAAAATCTATATCACTTTTAATAAGGGTAATTTGCGAATCTACAACAACAACGTCGATGATATCAAAAATCCCCGTAATATAATCAATATCGATTAAATCATTCAAGAATCTGTTTTTAATAGAGCGTTCACTTCCTTCATTAGGTATTCTCAGTTTTCCACAATCAACATTTTCCTTGTTCTCACATTGGAGTGACGAAGAACAGAACAAGGTTCCTTCGGGACATTTTTCAACTTCAAGTTCACCATCTTTACAAAGATAGTATCGATCACATAAAGCATTATGGGGTGTTATGAAGTTTGCACTTCCGCATTCTAAAGGAAAATATACTTTGTAAAATTTGTGATAAAATTGAAAGTAATTGTAGACTTACTGGTAACGGAGCTTCTCTGAAGACTTTTAGCAGCAACGTAATAGAAAATGCAGGAAAACAAGATTGCTTTTAATATTCCAGCCATTGTTCTTTAATAATTCAAAAATAGTAAATTTAGTAAATTTTGATTTTAATAAAGACTATGAAACTCTTTTGTGAGAATACTGACAATTGTTGGAAATGTGCATTATATACATTTGATTTGTTTGTATGCTAAATTCTATTTGTTTATTAATGGTTGTAGACTTAATACATTTTTAATGCAACTTAAAACCATCTATAAATTTAATTCAACTTTAAACAATTATTGTTTTTAATATTTTTAGACATCAAGTAGATTCAAAACGTTGATAGTCCATTTGGATAAAACAATACACTCAATTTTTGTTTTTCGTATTTAAATCAAATTTATTTAGTCTAATGTTTGGTACTTCCTACATAAAATATAATACGACAAAAGTTGTGTATTTGAATTAAAATTACTAATGATATTTTCGAATCACATGAAAAATAAATTAATTTTGCCATCCCTAAGTAAATAAATAACATTTAAGATACAAACAAATCAAATGTATAAAATCTAAAAAATCTTCATCAATTGTCAGTATTCTCACAATACAAGTTTATAGTCTTTATTAAAATCAAAATTTACTAATTTTGAATTATTAAACAACAATGGCTGGTATATTAAAAGCAATCCTATTTTTCTGCATTTTCTATTACGTTGCCGCTAAAAGTCTTCAAAGAACCTCCGTTACCAGTAAGTCTACAATTTCTTTCAATTTTATTACAAATTTTACAAAGTATATTTTCCTTTAGAATGCGGCAGTGCAAACTTCATAACACCCCATAATGCTTTATGTGACCGATACTATCTTTGTAAAGATGGTGAACTTGAAGTTGAAAAATGTCCCGAAGGAACCTTGTTCTGTTCTTCGACACTCCAATGTAAAAACAAGGAAAATGTTGATTGTGGAAAACTGAGAATACCTAATGAAGGAAGTGAACGCTCTATTAAAAATAGACTCCTTAATGACGTTCTCGATGTTGGTTATATTTTGGGGGTTTGGGATATTGCCGACATTATTGTCGAAGGTTCCCAAATTACCCTTATTAAAAGTGATATAGATTTTTAATCACACAAATTAAGATTTAATTTCAATATTCATCTTATGTTTCCGCTTTAAAAATTTTCTTTCCACTCATTTTGTCACAATGTAATTTATGAATAAAAATAATAAATCTTTAGTAGATTTAATAATATAAATTTTTTAAATTTTGCGCTAAAACCAGCACCAGCTTTTCCTGGTCGGACCTTTTCCTATTTTGAAATAAGTACAACAATGCGGGATAATTGAAATTAAATAAAAAGCCAACAGATTATGCAGTTTATTTAACGTAACCATATTTTTTTTCAATTATAAGCACATGTATATACATTCAAGATATTTTAAAAATAAATTAAGAACAAAGTAAGAAAATTATTGTCTTTAAAATATAAACTGAGAATTTTTCTTTTTTTTATCAATTAGTGATAAAACTTGTATTTTCGAATCTACTGAATATACATATGTATTATTGCAAATTTGAAAATTTACTTTCTAATTTCTATTCCGTTAATGTATTTAGAATTTGAATTATTTATTAGCAGTTTATCGAGAATTTTTCAGTTAAAGTTAGTTGCTTGAGTGACAAAGTGTTTTATTAAAGGGAATATTAAACTTTTCAGAAATACCTTAGATGTTAGGAAATGAAAAAGTTCTTTCAATCGACAATGATTTCCGAAAACTAAAATATAAATAAAAAAGAAATAATACATTCGCTTCAAAATGCATATAAAATTGGCAAGTTGCATGATACTCGAAAACGGAAATTACCTTTTTTTCAATAAATATATAATTTTGGCTAGATGTTTAATTTTCAAAAGCTAAGTGTACACAAATTAATTTGTGAACAAACATACGAATTAGTTGCATAAAACGCAACAAATCATTCACCACATCTTATTTTTTATTGCTTAAATAAAAATTACAATCCTATCAATTAAAATGAAACTCTTAACATAACAGCAAATACAAGATTTCTAATAAACTAAAAATACTTTGAATGCGACAACCTCAAAATTAAACTAATATTACTCTTAAACTTAAAAAAAAATCACTAAAATATATATAAATATATACAGACTTTCAAATCTATCTTTACAAAGTAAATAACATTTGGTCAATAATTTTCGCTAATAAACTACTACAACAAATTACTGCTTTGACTTCGATTCAAAAATAGCTTTCATGTCTTTGATGCAATAAGTTGGTGATGTCTTCTCCTTCCTAAAAAAATTAAAAAACTGTCAAAAAATGTCACAATCACAATGAAGTTTTACACTATTTTTATTCTACTGAAATTAGTTCAATCGCATTGTTCAAAATGCCTGCACAGCCCTTTATCCATAAAGCGATACGATCAGGCCGATTTGCTGCAGGACGACGAAGACAGGCGTGAAATCCTCAAAGATTACAAAACAATATTCGCCCCAGAGTACAGAATTTACACCAACGACACGATATGCAGTACCGTAACCGTGTCAAAGAGAAAATCGGAATACGACAATTGTAGGGACGAACTGTACAAAGAATACGATCCCAGGAGGGATTTCTTTTCGAAAAGCTCCAAGAAGGGATATTTCGAAGACAGGCTGCTTTACGGCAGAAACATGACTACTAAAGTCAATCTGAAATACCCAAGTCCCGAGGATTTCGGTAAAGAAAAACCCGCGGATACGTTAAGCATCGAATCGCTCTGGCACAACTCTCTAACCACCAGACAAATCAGGACGATACAGAGCAAAATCATGAAAAAATACATGAAACTCGACGTGGATCCTTGCTTGGACTTCTACGAGTACGCCTGCGGGAACTGGAAGAATTTCTACACCATACCGCCCGATCGAGCAACGTACGATATATTCGAAATGGTACTCAGCACTCGCATCTTCTCGTACTCGATACGATAAAACCTAATTTCAGGTAAGAGAAAATTTGGACCAAGTGCTAAACACCCTGCTAGCCGAAAACCAGGAGGTACCAACGCCTCAAACTCGAGTACCTTATTACCAAACGCGCAGCTTCTTAGAACGAGATTTCCTTCCCGACGACACCTCTGACGCTATCGCAAAGGCCAAGATGTTCTATCGATCGTGCATGGACGAAGACACCATACAAAAAAGAGGCGACAAGCCGCTTCGGAGGCTGTTGAAAGAATTAGGTAGGGAATTCACTCTTTAGGGCTTAGTATTATAATGCAAGAAACAACAACAGTAGGCAGTTGATTTGCAGGAGACTGGCCAATTTTGGTACCAGATTGGAGCAAACGGGATTTCGATGTTATTTGGCTACTGGCAAGACTTAGACTTTTGAACAACGACATTCTCATAGCTCAATGGGTAGGTCCCGATATGAAGAATTCTAACGAATACATTGTCCACATTGATCAAACCACCCTCGGATTACCAACAAGAGAATACTACTTAGAAGGAATGTACATGAAGTACCTGCAGGCTTACAGAGTATTTATACTAACAGGTTCTTATACGAAACTCTAAAGCAATCTAAGTAGAATAGGAAATTTTCAATTCTCGACAGTCGCCGAAATAATGGGAGCGGATTTCAAATCGGCGGAAAAAGACGTCAACGACATCATAAACTTCGAGATAGCCCTAGCGGGAATAACGGCGACCGCCGAAGAGCGCCGCAACATCTCCGACATATACTTAAGAACGGACATGGCGTCTCTGACGCTGTACTTCCCCCAATTCGATTGGAAGCAATACTTCGACATCGTCGTGGGCGCAGACGTCGATTTGCGCACACCGGTGGCTTGCTACTGCGCCAAATTCCTGCACGAATTGTTGTACATGCTGAGCGTGACGCCCCCGAGAACCCTGCAGAATTACATCCTGTGGAGGTTCGTCAGGCATAGGACCGGCAACTTGGACCAAAGATTCCTGGAGGCCAAGCAGAGGTTCTATTACATACTGTTCGGACGCGAGAAGAGCCCGCCGAGGTGGCAGTTTTGCGTGACCCAAGTGAACTCCAACATGGGCATGGCCTTGGGATCGCTGTTCGTGCGGAAATACTTCGATCAAATCAGCAAAACCGATACCATAACAATGACCAAGATGCTGCAGGAAGCCTTCAAAACGACCATAGAGGTATTACCAACGATTTAATCAATCAACTTTCTCACTTATTCGATGCACCAAGGAGAGTACGTGGCTGGATAACAACACGAAAGAATACGCTATCATGAAACTGAGCCGAATGGATTTGAAAATCGGCTTTCCCGATTTCATTTTGGACGAAAAACAACTCGACTCGCGCTACTTCGACGTGGAAATCCATCCGGACCGCTTCTTCGAGAACGTCATGACGTTCCTGAGGCATCTCACCAAAGTCGAGCAAAAGCGAATGGGCATACCGGTCAACAGGACCATGTGGAGCACACCGCCCGCCATCGTCAACGCCTATTACAGCAGGAACAAAAACCAAATCATGTTCCCCGCAGGTAGAACCGGCTCAGTTTAGAGCGAGAACGCCTCGACAGATCAGCTCAGGTATTTTACAGCCGCCCTTCTACAACCGACACTTTCCCAAGGCGCTGAATTTCGGCGGCATAGGCGTGGTGATCGGGCACGAGATAACCCACGGCTTCGACGACAAGGGCAGATTGTTCGATCACGAAGGCAATTTGCACATGTGGTGGCGAGAGACTTCCATACAGAAATTCTACGAGAAATCCCAATGCATGATCGATCAGTACGGGCAATACGTTCTACCCGAAATACACTTAGCTTTAGATGGGTAATTAGTATTTTTGTACCCGGGTGGTTATTCTTGAGAGGTTAGCAAATTAACAATGAATTGAATGGAGTAATGATGGAGTTTCAGGTCTATGCGGCAGAGCATATTGGTATAGTCAGTGAAGAACCCTTTTAGATATGGTAGAGGTTAAACGACTCTCTTAGGTGATGAATTGACTCTGTAGGTTCTATAAAAGACTATTTGATGGGAGTGTTGCATTATCAGTCTTGAGTATATAACAAATTATTCCAATGATTCTGTCGAGACTTATGATGACTATTGGTTAAAAGTTACTTTCTTAATAGGATAATCGACTCTTGTGGATGTAATTGACGCTACTGGATATGCAAATGTGCACTCAGAACATAAATAACATTCTTTGGTACATAATTGACTCGTTTAAAAAACGATTCGAAGTTAACCAACAATTGCCAACCTCTCAAAACCACATTGCCAATCGATTGTAAAATTAATTCGAAACCAATTATCAGTTACATGACCCAAGGTGAGAACATAGCGGATAACGGCGGCTTGAAGCAGGCGTTCAGGGCGTACGAAACGTGGCTGGGCAGCAATCCGGAGGCGGACGAGACGTTGCCGGAGCTGAACTTGACCAACAAGCAGTTATTTTTCCTCAATTTCGCGCAAGTTTGGTGCGGCCAGCAGCGGGTCGAGGCGGCGAAAAGCAGGATTAAAATATCGGTGCACGCGCCCGGCATATTCCGAGTCATCGGCGTGCTGAGCAACTCCAAGGAGTTCTCCAAGGAGTTTAATTGCCCCGTCAATAGCCCGATGAATCCCGAATACAAGTGTAGTATTTGGTGAGAGATTACGAATGCGAATACGAGTGAAGTACTTGGCTTATATTATTATATTTACAGTTTTATTTGTTAGTAGTGTTATTAGAATATATAAACTCACCTCGGACTTCTGTTGTTGTCCAAACTGATTCTTCTCAAGCGCTCGCTTTCCGATTCTCTTTCTCTGCTTTCGTACGTATGCCTTCGGTCTTTCAACACGTCCGGTTCCTTGCTTTTGATTCTGATAAAATCCAAATCTTTCAGATCGCCTTCTAAATTCTGCTTCCTGTCGAACCTGCCGTACGTTTTGTCGCGGTTCTCCTGCACGTTTTTACCGCCGAACGCGTCGTTAGATTTGACGGGCCGCAATTTCGGAATGAACAAACTACTTGGCGGCGTTACGGCGTTGGAGTGTTGTTCGAAAATCGCCGCTCGCGACTTGAGGCTCTCCGTCATCGGCTTGGAAATGGGCGGAGATCGTTCGTCTTTCGAGCACTTCTGCGGCACCTTGGCCTTGTTGAAATCGTCGAATTTCAAGCGAGGTTTCGAGTGCTCTTTCGCGGGTTCGTTCGAATTCGTGACAGCGCTAGCTTCTCGTTTGGGAGGTTCTTCGGCGCCGAGAGACAGATCCGGATTGTCGCTGTCCTCGCTGCGCGAAGACCTTCTGCGCGAACGAGGCGGCAGATCGCCGTCGGTAATTTTGGCCAGCTCCGGCAGTTCCTCCTTGGGTTTGTAGATTCGCAATCGTGTCAGCACCACTTCTTTGTTTTCCTTGAACGATTCAGACCTGCAAATAAATAAATATTTGAAATGGTTGGAGGAAATATCAACGTGTCTACATCGCCGGTTATCCGGGCGAATTTCTACAAATTACCGGTATCTGTCCTGCAATATTTTCCTCCTTTCCTCTTTGTACCTTTCGATCCTTTCGCGTTTCTTCTGTTGCTCGTCCTCGCTCAAATTGTTGTTGATGTTTTCGGAGCTGTGGGCCAAGTGCAGGGAAATTACCTTGCCGTCGTCCAACGGCAACGATTTGGGTTGATTCAGCGTTTTGGGCAACGAGTTGGTCTTGTAGCCGATGGTATTCGAGCCGAATTCTTTCTCGAAATCCTCCTCGTCCAACGATCGGGTTTTTAGCTGATGTTTGAGTTTTCGGGCCCGCAAACACGGAGGGAGGCTGTCCCTTTCGTAAAACTTCATTAATCTGCAAATCAATGAAATTAATAAATATTCGCACTAGCGATAAGCAGCGGAAAATTCTCACCTCGGGTGATTACTATCGACATTTGTACTATCTTCAGTTTCTTCTAATGTTAATACTGATTTCTCACTAGGCGCAGTATCGTTATCTACAACTACTTCAATATCCTTATTTTCTACTGTACAAATTGATTCATCTATCGCGTCTCCTTCGTCAGTCTTGATCTCCACACGTTCATTCACTCTATCGTCAATCGCTACGTTATCGTCGATAACCTCGTACTCTCGCATCACCTGCTGCTCCAACGAATCGAAACCGTCTTTACCGGCCTCCTCCCCGTCGTCTTCGAGTTTCCCATCGTTCTCAATATCGAGCAAAGCGTTCACCTCGTGCACGGACCGCCTGAAATACTTAATCACCTGCTGATAGGAGTTGGTGTCCGGAGGCGTCTCGTCCGATTTCCTCTTGTCGCTGCTGTTCGACTTGGTAGGAGTCAGCTCGGCGTCCGTCTCGGGCGGGCTAAACTCGATCAAATTGGAGCTAACGGGGCAGTCGTCGGCCTCGTCCGGCAAGTTGTCCAAATTCTCCAGGCTGAGTCCTTCGCTGGTGTTCTTCGTCTCGGTGGGACTGGCCGGGGTGAGTACTTCGTGCGAGGAGCAGTCGTATATTTGCGTTAGACTTACGTTGGGACTGGGCGTGCGTTTGGACGGCGTGCCCGGGTAGCTCAGAGACGTCTGGCTGGCGGTCAGGCTGCCCACGACTTCGCTCAAACTCAAATCGCTCGGGCTGCACCGGTTCGACGATTCGATGTAATGGTACGGAGCCGAGCTGATGCTGGCCGTGTACTGGACGTTTGAGGCCGACGATTGATTGGAACTCTGATCGACGTAGCTGCCTATAGACAGCTGTTCGCTGGTGTTGCAGATGGCGCTCGAGCTCAAGTTTCCCTTGATGGTGGTCTCTTTGAAGTCTTCGAGGGCGCTCAGGCTCTTCGGTCTGTCCGATACGAATTCGCCGCTGACGGTCAGCGAGGCTTCTTGGATGGGCAACGAGGCGGCGGAGGTGGGAATGTCGACTTTCTCGGTGTTCAAAATCACGTTTTCGTACGCGTGCGTGCAGGGATTCTTCACCGGTGACGCGGGAGTGCTGCGCGGCGGCGATTTGTAAGTGATGCTGATCGTAGTTCGTATGTTTTCGGGCTTCTGCGATTTATTATCGATTTCGGTGGGGGAGCTGTCGTAAGCCGGAGTCCCGGGAGTTGTATTAGAACTGCTATCTCCCAGTTGCTTGTAACCGGGCGATCCGGGCGTTGGGGTGGTTAGTAAGCTGTTGATAATATCCAAATCGGTGGAAGATTTCGTTATCACCGTGTTAGTGGAATCGGAGGATTGTCGTTTGTCGTCCAGATTGTCGGAGTTTCTCGGCGATTTGTTCTTGGGCTGATAGGAGTCGAAGAATTTGTTGACCGGGCTCTCCGGGAAAGCGTGAATCACAGCCGTGGTTGATACGATGTTATCCGGAGTATTACAATCGATGTACTGGATGTCGGAGAGCTGGTCTTCGAGCCTGGTGCGCTTCCTCGATTGGGATTCGGGGGAGAGTATGACGCGCGGTTGTTTCTTCGGCGATGGATTGACTGAGTTCGTCGTACTGTTGACGTATTCCTCCGGACGGGCGCGAGTCAGCACTCGTCGTTGACACTAAGATAATATATCAATGTTAAATATACAGAGTAGATTTAGAGTTGAGTACGGATTACCTCCTTTTGTATCCTTGGGGAACTGACTAAACTCTCATCTTCTGAAAATATCCGCATTTCCGATTCTTCCAATTCGAAATTCAGCTGTATTTCACTCAAATCGAGCAAGGAGCCTTCGGAATTGTTTTGGGAATTTTGCAACGTATCAAAATAAGAATCGTGCGATACGGACCTAAAAATAATAAATTAGTACATATGGATTGTGCCGAAGGAATCGAATGCTTACGCCACAACTTTAGCATTAGCAACCAATACTACAAATACTACTAAATTCGACAAACAAAACACATTCGATTCGTTAGTTTATATATTTTTTTCCACTTCCTTTCCGGTCGTGTCCAGTTTTACTTTTCCCAACATTCAAAAATGATGAAATGGAGCGAATTTTTAGTAAGGGTGAGATTAAAAAGCATGCAATGTTAAATTATACTTTTATTTCTGACGAAATGAAATACCTGTTGTGACCAGGGGGTTTAATTAAGGAACGTAACGGAGCTAATATATCCTCGGAATTGGCGGGCTCCGAATGGCCGGACGTTAGACTTTCCGCCGATTTCACCCCTCCTCCTCCGTTGTTGTTGTTGAGAGAGATCGCATGACACGTGTGTTTTTCCTGTTAACAAATATGCTATTGAAAAAAACGAATAATTCCAGGTGAGCTTAATCGAATCGAATGCTTAACTTAAAAGAAGAGAGTATTAAAAGTCATTGTTATGTTTAAATTTTGCCATGACATCATGTCTCTGGAATTGTACAGGCACTTATCTTATAAATATCCTATAAGCTCTCTTTTGTGACGTAAATGACGGATAGTATAGATTAAAGCCGCATTATAATCTATGAACAATGGTTTTACACAGAGAACCAAAGATTCTTGAATGCATAAAGATACAAATGATACTTGGACCGGTTATAGATTATAGACAAATGATAGATATAGATGTCAATGAATTTCCTAAACTCTGGTAACGCTGGGGAACAGAGGGTTTGTTTTATGAAGTTTTATACAGGGTGTCTCATAAGTTGATGCTTTTATTTAACTGCGTATAGATCTTTTTATTCTAAGCAACTTTTTCAAGTATTTTTTTTTTAAATTTAAGTAAAAAATTTAGATTTGAAAGCAAAACATCAATTTAGTAAGAAACTATACCGTGATATTAAAATAAAAAAAATAGAATCCTGTATACCAGTGTAATCTTTTAAATGTATAATATTTAATTAAATTGGAGGAAAAATAATGCTCTGGTGAGACAATTAAACAATTTAGTTCTGCACTGGATGGAATTTTTAAATTAAACACTCGATTAAAAATGATTTTAATACTTACGTTTACGGTTACCGGCGTGGAAGCCTTGCGATTTTTGTGCATGTTTCCCTGAGTTTGATTCCTCGATTTGGAAAAAAACATTCTCCAACCCAATGGGGAACGCTTGGTAAGGCCCCTTTTTCTCGAACCTTAAAAATTAACATTAAATTTCTAATTCCCACATGTGGAAATTTTTCTACAATTACCTGATGGTAACTCAATGACGGTGTGGTATTTCTTCGGCAAATTGTTGGGCCCGCCTCCGACTTCGATGTAGTTGCAATCGTCGGTCCTGCTGGACAAATGCTTGCTCCGCGCCTCCTCCAGCGTGATCAGCTTGGTGGGCGTCGATATGGCTAGGCTGTTGGGCCGGCACTTCTTCGACAGCAAATTCTCGTTGACGACGGCGCGCTGATCGAAGTTCGGCAGACGATCGCAGAATATCAAATCGGCGTAGCATATGAGGAATTCGGTGACGACCGCCTGAAACGGATCCGGGGAAAATTTCGTTAGAATCGCACGCAACAGACGCCCGACGAGACGAAGTACCTGCACCCCGACGCCTTGCAGGGCGGCCACGCCGCCCACTTCCAGCGATTCGCATCTCAGCAAATTAGGGGCCCATACTATGGCTACGTTCCTCGTCGTCATTCCCGTGTTTGAACCGTGCATAGCTACCTTAGCCAAGTGCCTCATTAGGTATTCCAACGTTCTGAAATGTTTTAGTTAGAATGTAATCGTAGCAAAGTTGATGACCGGTTAACATTTTAACTAAGAAACAAACGTACCTGTAATGAGGTGGAGGTAATTTCTGTACAGTTTCTCTCATCTTTAACAGTCTTTCATGATCCGATTCGGAGTTTCTGATGGCTGTGTTGCACCCTTGAACGGCGTTGACGAAACTTTGGTAAAGCTGATACGTGCACAGCGGATTTGGTAGCTCTCTGTCGACAAAGAAAGGCTATTTTTTATCGACTGTCCTCGAACGAAGTAAAAAACTGTTTAATTTTTAATGGACCGTGTTAACGCAATAAATTAAGTCATCAATTTCGAAGATATAATACTTGAAATAAGACGAGATAAGACTTGAAACCGATTAAGGGTTTATGTAGTGTTAAAAATGAGGGAATTTTGATTTTTTACATTTTAAACATTTGATTGCCTACTAAATGCTATTTATTTATTAATGGATTGTGGGATTACATTATTTTTAATGTACTTAAAAACATCTGTACGTTCAATTCACCTTTAGAACGTTTGTTTTCAATACTATTTTATATTACGTTGTTCCATATTATGTAACATTCTTTTTCCCTGTATGCAACTCCCTGTTAAGTTTATTACAACTTCTTTAAATATCACAAATAACTACAATTTTTAGTAGAAATAAAACAAAATTTAGGAAGATTTTATGATGATGCGATGAATTATTTACAAATGACTGTAATAAATACGGTAATTTTTAGCATGGATTAACTCAATTTTTAAATTAAAAACAAAAAACACTCGACGAGTATATAAGAGCTGTAATTTTTGCACAATTCATCAGTAGCCTTCTAATTCCTGCTTTAATAGAAACAAAATATTTCATTTTGATTGATTAAAGTAACATGGAAATGATCAAGTTCGTGTTCTTCTTCGGTTTAGTTTATTGTGTTACGGCCAAAAGTTTGCCTGTACCCACAAGTAAGTACAAAATTATTACAATTTCACAAATAAAATGTTCAACATTTTCCATTGCAGAGTGTACAGATAATAACGTACTATTGCCCGACGAAACTAACTGCAAGCTCTATTACGAATGCATCAATGGAGAATTGATCCTAAAATCATGCGAAGATGGAATGCTGTTCAACTTTGTGACGAATGAATGCGACGACAAAGAAAATGTCGAATGCAATCCAAATTCACCTAATGAAGAGTAAGTGATTAAAAAAATAATGTTTTTCTTGGAATCCACTATTCCACATAGTTCTTTAAAGCACTACTTTAACTTTACACTTTTTAAAGCACTAATTTAGGACTACAAAAACGCTCATTAACAACTATTCATTTTACAGCGACGGTTCCGACGAGGCAAATACACCGTTCGATGACTCCCTCAAACCCCGGAATATGGAAGGAAACCCCAAAGAGAGGCTCTATTTAGTTCAATTTGGCTACGATGGAACATTTTCATACAGTTTATTGGGCTCCAACAACCTGCTAGCAATGCCTTCATGGGACTTTCAAAGCCTCTTACAAACGACATCAGCACCTGTAGAATTATCATCGCCTACCGCAACCACTCAAAGCTCCATAGATACGACAGTAGCACCTGTAGAATTATCATCGCCTGTAGTAGTCGATCTAAGCCCCGTAGAAACGACAGTAGCACCTGTAGAATTATCATCGCCTACAGCAACCACTCAAAGCTCCATAGATACGACAGTAGCACCTGTAGAATTATCATCGCCTGTAGTAGTCGATCTAAGCCCCATAGAAACGACAGTAGCACCTGTAGAATTATCATCGCCTGTAGTAGTCGATCTAAGCCCCGTAGAAACGACAGTAGCACCTGTAGATTTATCATCTCCTGTAGTAGCCGATGTAAGCCCCATAGAAACGACAGTAGCACCTGTAGATTTATCATCTCCTGTAGTAGCCGATGTAAGCCCCATAGAAACGACAGTAGCACCTGTAGATTTATCATCGCCTACAGTAGCCGATCTAAGCCCCGTAGAAACGACAGTAGCATCTGTAGAATTATCATCTCCTGTAGTAGCCGATGTAAGCCCTATAGAAACGACAGTAGCACCTGTAGATTTATCATCGCCTACAGTAGCTGATCTAAGCCCCGTAGAAACGACAGTAGCACCTGTAGAATTATCATCTCCTGTAGTAGCCGATGTAAGCCCTATAGAAACGACAGTAGCACCTGTAGATTTATCATCTCCTGTAGTAGCCGATGTAAGCCCCATAGAAACGACAGTAGCACCTGTAGATTTATCATCGCCTACAGTAGCTGATCTAAGCCCCGTAGAAACGACAGTAGCACCTGTAGAATTATCATCTCCTGTAGTAGCCGATGTAAGCCCTATAGAAACGACAGTAGCACCTGTAGAATTATCATCGCCTACAGAAACCACTCAAAGCTCCATAGATACGACAGTAGCACCTGTAGAATTATCATCGCCTACAGCAGACAGTCAAAACCTCGCCGAATCGACATTAGCCCCTTCAGACGAGTCAATGGATCCATTCGACATCGCGGACCTAATAGATTTTTTTGACGCTTAAAGTCTCATAGACTCGATATTTTGGATTCGACAATAGCACCTTAAGTGGAAGAACATTTCAACTGAACCAACAGAACCAATACCTTCGGATTGTAAATTTGTTTCTTTAAAATAAAACTCAGTATTAAATGCTCGTTCTTTGATTTAGCATGTAACAGTAGGATCCTATGTACATTTTCTTCTAGATAAGTATGTTTTAACCTATAGCGTAATTAAACGATTACTTCTTTATCTTTTGATAGTGAAGCAGTAAGTAAGTAAAAATATTTTAATATCTTTGGATTAATTCGAACAGTATATAAAGATAGCACGGTTAGTTATCTGCTGTAGTCGAGTCTAAATTGCCTTTAGAAGTCTCATGTATCTTTGATAGATTCAAATTTCCATTGATTGATCAAAGAAAAAATGAAATTCTATTTAGCAGGCATTGTATTGTTCATTATTTTCTACGCAGGAGTTGTCAGAACTTACGTTTTAGGTAAGTGTTGACCTATTAATTTTCACTAAATAAGATTTAAATAGTAAAGAAATGAAAAAAAAATATTTTTGTTAAAAAAACCAACAAAGCAATTTCCAGGTAACAATGTTTGCATCGTTTAATGTGTCATGTAAAAAAACAAAATTAACGATTAAAAGATTATTACACATGTGTTTAGTTAAATACTCATTAAACTCATGGTTGATTAACAGTAGAAAAAACACACAATTACTTTCGCCGTATAACAGAATGAATTATTTCAAATATGTTCACAATGAATTATTGTCGCCCATTTTGCAGGCGCACAGGACGAAATTTGCGCCATAGAAAATCAACAAATACCGCACGAATCCGAATGCAACTTGTATTACCGTTGCGTTTACGGTAAAAAAATCCCGAAAATATGCCCGGACGGCGCTTTATTTAATCCTCTAATCGCCAATTGCGACGACGCGTACAACGTACCTTGCGGAAATTTGAAATTCAACAACGACGATGTGTAAGTTGATTTTCACAAAGCTAAACTCCGCGAGGAGTAGGCTCAGGGGGTCTCCAAGTTTCAGATTCGACAGGAGTTTTTCCGATTATTACAATCTAGGCGAATTGACCGATGGATCATACGAGGTAACGACCAGGCAACCGGGCGAATGCCCTCCCAAGTCAGACCCGTTCGAGCCCGATCCCTTGCTGCCCCACGAAGAGAAATGCAACGCGTTCTACAAGTGCTTCGAGGGCAAGAAAGCGCTGATGAAGTGCCCCGGGATATTTCAATTCAACGCCAAAATATCGGCCTGCGACTGGCCCATGAACGTAAAATGCGTCGACGCGTTAGTTTCACTCACCTGAAGTACATTTTCAACAGAGACGCCACAGAATGAATATCTTGTATAATATCTTCGGTAAATAAATTTGGTATTCGGTCTTCATCGAACGAGTTCCTCAATTTTTGGATGTTCGACGTGACGCCGGACAACCTAAAGAAACGATCGTCGTTACAATTAAACTATTTCACAATCGCAAACAACCCTCCTACCTGTATATGCCGTCGACTATTCCGTTCTTCTCGATGAACTCGGCGCAGCACTTCAACACCAGCGGCACGTCGTTGCCGGAATTCAGCAGGTGCTCGCCCAAATCGCACCCGAACACCCTCTCTTTCAGTATGCCCGATTGCTTCAGCCGCCTCCTCGACGGCCTGTTCAGTATGAAACTCCTGAAGAACGTGATCAGCTTGCCGTGCTTCCTCAATACAGGTTTGATCGGCGTTAACGCTAAGGACCTATAGATAAAAATACATTCATTGCTCGCGACTAATTTGTTAATCATATTGTTATTAGAAATTAAATTAATGTTAAAAGAGCGTACGACAATAGCATACTAGACAAGTGGGTCAAATAACTGCAGTTAAATAAGGTAATTCAATAGGTTTTATGAGGTTTATCATACGAATTCCATCGTGACTCATAGCGTCTGTAAACGGATGCTACCAGTTAATAGCGTTATTTAAAATATAGAGTCGATTAAGATAGCGTTTAATTGGCTTACCCGACGACGGGAGGCGGTAGAGGTATATTCCTCGGCACCTTATCGCCTATAATATGAACACAATGTTGAGGAAAGAACCCCACTTGGAAGCCCCGCTTGCCGCGCCACCACATCGACTCCCCCGGACTAGCCATGTCTATAACTGAGATCATATCGCCTACTTCTAGATTGAGTTCGTCTCGGGCCTGCAAGCAACAGAGCGATCAGGTGTAAAAAAAAGTTGGTGCTCGCGAATGGGTTCCTCACCTGCGAAACGTATCTGCGCACGCTGTACGCCGCCGCCACGGCCGGCGTGTTGATCGAGCGGCTCTCCTCGCTGGGCACCAGCAGCCTGTGGCCCTTGTTGTCCATCTGCAGCCAGTTCAGCACCGGCCCGCAGTTCACCGAGTTGTCGGCGATTTTGCTGAAGCGCTCCAAGTAGAGGATCAGTTTGGTCTGGAAGAGGAAACGCCGGTGATTTATCCGATCGTGGATATTTTAGGTTTTATGGGCGCTTTTAGCATTCGTGGATACTTACGTGATCCATGGCAGTTTTTCGTTAAAGATTGGCGGTACGAGTGAATGATGAACGAATCCGATCGATAATGAAACATTGGGAAAATATTCGCGAGCTAATCGAAATTATTTTCGATGTACAGAAAAAATAGATTGTAGTGTTTTTTTTTTGCTTTCAATTGAATACGAAGCGTATAAAAAAGTTTATAATTTTTTTTTATAAATGACTCGATTATGTTGATTTTAAACCAAAAAATATTACTCATAGAAAAGTAACGTTTCTGCTATTATGAACTCCCTGTACAAACATATTTTACCACTCTTAAAAATACACCTAATGATTAAAAAAAAAACTAAAAAACAACCCCTTATGTTCGTTTACGATCGAGCGCATAGTAATTAGCGTACTTACTGGGGTAGGAAATTCATTTCGTGTCGTTACTCTATATAAAAAAATAATGGGGAAAAAGGTGAATTATCGTGAGTCAGCCCTTTCGGATGAGGTTTGTTCCCATTGTGTGCGTTAGTGCATGCATACACACACATATCGCCTGATGCAACAACGTGCTCGAAAAAAGTGCTATCGATTAAATCGAGGGTGCATACGTGTAAAATTGAATCCGTCTGTAAAATATTCACAACACTTTTTTAATGAAGCCGTTTTTAAAGGGTCGTGATTTAAAATTTGAGCACACAGTAAGTAATTATAGTTTCGAATTGCTTTTGTTTAAAATTTTGAACAGTTTGTATTTACCAACGAAACAGGAAAAATTTGAAAATACCGCTTTTAAAATTCAGTCATTGCAAATTACTTTATCTAAAATCCGCGTAACTTCAGTGAAGTTCAGTGACTATACTAAACTGTGCGTGAAAATCCGCTACTATTTTTTCCCATTTTACTCGGGTAAAGGATAAAGTAGGCGCCTCCATTTGGCTCATTAAACTTTCAAAAAACCGGGAGACCTACTTCTCCATCAACTTCGCCAAGTATGTTGGAAGTTCCGACGCGCTGGCTATTTATCCTACTTTCGAGTTTATTTATTTTCCCAAAATTTCCGTGTATTCCGCATAACGCTGCGACCTACATACGCCGTACAAAATTCCTTTCGGAAGATAGTTATCGATTGTCCTATTTCGCCGATTTGTGCAGCGGGACACTACATCAAAGGAATGGAAATGAACGTTTCGATGGAGACATCAATCCGATTCGTTCAGTTTAATTTTTACGAGGCGCAATTTTCGATTAAATTTCGCAATAACGCGAAATCCGGCGGGTTTCTAGCTGCCGGGGTCCCCTCGACTCGGCGTATTACCGACGCGATATCGCAACCCTTTCCTAGTTAAAACGCGCCAGGGGTAAAGTGCAACGCCGTAAGTAATTACATTACAGAGATCAGCGACCTTTTACGGTCGAGACGATTTTTAAACCCGAAGCCACAAATGACTGCGTACGCGATTTACCTCCAGTTCCTCGTCGTTCGGAGACTGACTAGAGAGATCTTGCAGTTGGGATATTTTCCTGTCGAAGATGCACTGATGCAGTTGATCGTCCAGCATTTGGAAATTCTCGAAGTTCCTCTGGATAATCCAGCACGCCTCTCCCGACGTCACCTGTACCATGAACCATTCGTCATCTGCGTCCTCGTTCGCTGTATTATCGATGCAAAAAAGGCCAACTTAAGTTCAGTTCGTGTCGTCATCGCAAGATTAGCTCGAGCGTGATATATGTTAGGTGTACTCACTGTGTTGCGAATGAAGCGATTGATCCATATTAGTCTGGAGGATGACGGTGAGCGGGGGTAGTTGCACCCTTTCGTAGTGGAAATGGGCGCATTCTTCGAGCTTGGGGAACCTGCAAGGCTCCGCTCCCAGTGAGGGCACCCCGCCGGCCGCTTCGCTGATTTGCATCTCGTACACTTCAGAACATAATGCCTGGAAGCAAAGGAAAATCCGATTTTATTATCTTACACGATACAAAAAAATATAAATTTCTGTATTCTAAACCGTTGTTAGTACCTCCATGTTTTGGTCAAACCATATAGTCATGTTCACCTTTAAAATTCTATTCACCCGCTTCTTGAACTTCCTCCTCTCCCACGTTTTCATTATATACACCTGGCCCGAAGCCTTTTTGCCCATTTGCAATTCGAAATTATGACGATAGCAAAAGAACCAAATCCTAACGAAAGTCGTTACTTTTGTGACAATAAAATACAAATCCAGTTTTCTCGAAGGCGTTCGAACAATCGATTACAAATTTTAATTATTTCAAACATGTAAAAATTGTGCTCCACATAACATTCGAATAATCGAAAAATAGAGGAAAACAAATACCTAATTTCGCGGCGATGTCAATAAGATTTTTTTATCGTCGTGATTCAAATGTCGTGAAAATCCGAATGTTTCAAACTGCTATTTGTTGTGGAAAAATTTCAACTAACGCTGGAAATTGCTTGGCATTAGCAAGATATTTTATCTACTTTTTAAAAGAAATTTCCTCAGTAAGTTGAGTGTATTTAAAAATTAAAAAATATTGGTTTAATATCAGTAGCATTATTTTCATATTTCCTTATAAATTTATGTCAATATTTTTAGATTTTTTTAGATAAAATCTAATAAACTCTCAGACGTTATACCTATTGTTATACACATTAGCAAAATCCAATATTTACAACATTTCAGTGAAATAATTAAAATCAATAATTAATGAATGTAATCGAACATATATCGAGTTATTAATGAAACGAACGTACAACTAAAAATTACAAAAAAGAATCGATGAGAAATAAGCGTAATTTTGAAACCGAACTTTTGTCACCGCGTATTCACTGCCGAATAACAACTAACAGAATTCGGCTTTTGAAAATCCGAACAAGTAATATTTGCTCGATGGACGGAATCGATTGTTGAAATTTATTAGCGATTACTTATCGACGAACGGCTCCAAAGCATTGACTCAGCTCGAAGATTACGAATGTAATCAATAAATTCATTTTCACATTTTTTTGGATTTGGCGAAAATATTCAAGTATTTTGTTGTCGGGCTTTTTTTCTTCCCGTCGAAAATGCCACGAATTTTCGAAAATCGACCGGGAGATGCCGATAAGGAATTATCGGGGACCGCACGAATTCTATTCTCAAATCACAAACATCTGCCAGGTTTATTTTAGAAAATTTATAGTGCAGTCAATTTCCGAGGCTCGTTAGGAAATCGAACCGAAAAAATTGTTAATTATACTGTTACAAGATCCTAAAATCATTTAGAATAATTTATACGTTGATTAGAAACCTCTCCATTTCAATTTAAATCAGATATTTGTTACAGGAGACTCTTTTTTCCTTGACAAAAATTATAACGCGGGATCATCGCAATATTTCAATTCGTGACGTCATATATAAGTTGAACATACTGTATCTACTTGTAAAATGTGAAATAGTATCGCGTTGCACTTACGCTGTTATAAATAATAAACCGATAAAAAATTCCCACGGGCGCTGGGCCTTGTACGAGGAAGCTATTCCAGCTATTCGACATTCTAAAGTTAGACGTCGCTGCGCGTCGTCGCGAAATTTATACGAAATAAAAGTCGAAAACTCCACAACCGACTGACACCGAGAAAGCAGAGAGAAAATACGCCTCACGTCCAAACTATAAAAATTCTTCGAATTTCACCGCCATCGCGAAGAAGTTCTCGCCGAAGAAAACGCTAAAAATGCAACTGCTGCGCCTTTGAACACTTCTATGAACTTCTATAAGGAAGTTTGCCGATAGACAAAGTAACATATAACATAAAAACTATTGGTAAATCCTCTTCCCCTTGTGACATCACCATTACGTTAACACGAACGTACTATAGGCATTATTTTGTGCGGGCCGGTATTTAACCTAATTCGAGGGATTAATTAATAGTGCAGGTGTTAACCTTCGGTGAAATCCCGTTGGATATCATCTAGATGAATGAACGACGACGAAACCGAGCCGAGAGGTCGTCTTTAATGCCGTTTCTCATGTCCCTCTCTGTTCCGGAACGTCGTAAAACTTTTTTGTAACAACAACTGGAACTTTAAACGTATGCAACACTCGCAAAAGAATCCGTCGACATTGATATAGCCATTCGGTTTAAAATTCATGTTACATATTTATCATTGCAAACGTCTCATAGGCGTAACTGCTTAACTTTAATCCTTTATAGTTTTGTTAGATGTTTCATAATGATGTTCAGTACAGCGTTGACAATCAAATCAATACACATTGAGAATAAAAATTCGGAATTTAGAAATAATCGGGGATAAGATTAGGCACATACCTATGAAACAAGTATATAATAATTGTTATAAGTAACAATATAAATTGATATTACATGTTTGTTGCATGTTATATGGAAATAGTAGGTTTGAGGAATATTTGAAGAATACATCAAGTTTTTGGTAAGACAAAGGTAAGCAAGTTATCTGATGCATAACATCAAAATACGGTTGATTTGCCGAATGATAACTGATAATTAGATCGGTTGTTGTTCTACTATGTAAATCTTACTAACGACTTCGAATTTACAACAGTACATTAAACAATGCCACACCACTGGAACGAAACATAAATTATTTATAATCTGATGAGTATGGCAGCCATGTGTCTAATAAAGGCATACAATCATATAATATTTTTATTCACTTATTGTTTTTTTGGTGCGTTTCACAACCGTCCTATCGGCTGAATTTATAGCTTTTTTTGTCACATTCACATACTGCTGCAAATTCCCATACGGATAGCCTACTATTACGGTTAAATTGTGATATAATATAAAATATAATATATACACTTATTAACATAGTGTTAATATGTAGGTTTTCGTATTAAAATTCAAATTGAAGATATCATAATGAAATTTCAATTTGAAATTAATGACAATTCGAAAATTGAATATGCAAGTGTGACCCTATCGAGATTTCGATTATTTTTTTGCATATTTTTTTTTTGAATAGAAATAAACTAAAGTCCAAACCTTGGCGAAATTAACGCAGAACATATCATAGCACGACAGTGTCATCGATACACCCTTTGCCGCTCGTCAAGGACTCCGCAAGGACTAACGGGAAGTCCCGGTTACCAATCAGCCGTTTATCGCTCACATATCAGCGGCACTGTCACGACAAAAAAAAAAAACTCGCCCCGCGAACACACCCCTTTCCCGTCGATGAGCCGATTCGCCGGCGGACTTCCGCGCTCCGCTCGCCTATTTTCCGGCGCCTCCAGCTGAAAACGCCGCCGGTCCGACTGAAACTAGCGATCGAGCGTCGCCCGAGCCCGAGACGCCTGAAAAGCGAAAGCCCCGCGTCGGGCGGCACTATACGACCCGAACGAACGCCAGCTTTACACCGCATCACGTGCGTACTGGAAATTAAAATTCACTTGCAGGAAGCACGTGGTACAGGGCGAGACTAATAAACACATCACGGGTAACTCAACCACCCTGTAATACATTATACAGTATTGTTCCCCGTCTGATTTACTTCATATTTGGTAGTGATATGACCCACTTAGCCTACGTGACTCACCCTGCGTACAGGTTAAATTCGTTTTGTGGAAGAACTCGGGGGGAAACCCGGAACGGGAATTATAGATCGTTCACCTTCTGTTTCTTCTCGTGGTCTCGGAGCGATTCTTGCACGCTATCGGCGACGCGTGGACGGTTCCGGTCGGGTTCTTGGCGAAAACCCGTCTAACTGTTCGGAGGAGACTTGGAGGCTCTCGGCCGGCCGGCCCGCGACCGATGGAAATCGGTTCGCGGAGTAGGATGGATTTTAAATCCGGGGAATCCGGTACACCGCAATAAGAGTTTGTCTTCGAGTTATCAAAAAATATGAGCAAATTTTAGCAGTATAAAGGAGTTACTCTATAGTTCGGATACATCTACGTACTGTATAATTTGCTCGGTTTGTGCGATTGATGATATTACATAATATTATGTTCTTGCGTGCCGCATTTTCGGGTGCGTCCTTTTAATTCGGGAAAATCGCGTTCGGAGAACGAGCGAAATCGAACGTACGAAAAAAATCGCCCGGTGAAAGTGCAATGAGTTGGCGAACCGATATACGAGCATTTACATAATCGATGAATAAATAACAAATCGACTTCCATTTTCGGACGTCGCCCCACAACTTATTAATAATATCGATTATCGAGTGGAAAGTGCTCGTATTTGCGCCGGCCAACTCGAGTCAACAACACAACAAAAATATTGTTTTCTTTTGAACAAATTTCTGATATTTAGAAGTCATAATGACTTGTGGAACGAAATACATTGTTGTCAAATGGTGCAGTAAATACTAAAACGAGTAAAATTATCGCAATAAAATTTTCTTGTACCTATCTAAACTTACACTTTTGCATTTTACTCACCTCCTAGGACACCACGGTGACAAATGCTGCACATAGAAACCCCATTACAGCGTACATTTTACACGCTTTCGTTATGTCATGTCGGTTTTTAATCGATTCGATTTCTATTCGAACTCGATTAGTTTAGCGTCGATTTTTTTTTTTCATCCGCGTCCCGTACGAGTGCTAGAGCGGATTGTTTCGCGTTCGACGCGGTTTCGAAAGTTAATCAATTCCGATTCGAAGTCGGCCAACATTTTGTCGATGCCACTTGTTACTGGCACTGACATGTATCGGTAACCATCGCACAAATCCGCATAGCGCTATTTTTTTAATGATAGAGTAGGTTCGATTTACGTAAAAAATGCGCTTTTAATTGAAAACGGGCAGTGTATTAATGTTCTACATTCGGTTTTTTTGGTTCCGCAAGACATTATAACGTAGTATAATGCACGAAAATTATAGTGGGTTTTTTAGGTCGATGTAAATAATATGGTTAATTTATTTTTCTATAATACTAACTGTTGTTTATCATATTTTTATTGAGTCGATTTTGACCTTTTTATTCGGGTGAATATGGTAGTTTACGAGCCGAAAAATCCGGTGAAAGTGGACGAAGGCATTGTTGTCTCGACGAGACAGAGGTCAGGGATACATCTCGTCTTGTAATCTTACGAAATAACCGAAAAAGCGAGTTATGTAAATTTGGCGAACGCACGCGATTAAATTTATTAACCGTTTCATTTTTGCATCGCGGAAACGGACGATTAAACGATAAACAGCATAGGTGTTTGATGTATTTACGTTGTTTGTTTTACGTAAACGGTATGAGGTAAATATTAATGAAAAATTACGCCTGATTTTACGCTCTCCTCGAGTACGGCACTTTTGTGGAATTTGATTGCGAATTTTGTAGAAATCGTATTGGAATATTTTCCGTTGTAAGCACGAGATTCTACAATTGAAATGGTTCATTAAAATTGATAAATGCAGATAAATTCCTGCAAGTTTTTTTCTATTTTTGTCGACTCACTTTTTCAAAATGCACTCGCTCGTCGTCCTTGAATCGAACACACTGTATAACATCGACAGGTGTTTCATAAAATACCTTCAATGGAATAATACACATAATAATCCATTAATGTATTTCCTTCACATTTCATTAACAAAATCCCTTTAATTACATCATTACTGCTAATGTTTTGAGGTTAATAAAAATTACATTGTTGCCTCTGAATTTTAGTAATGCATTTAGATTTTCTTCGAAAAGCTCGTAGAATCCAAAGTTTTAGCATGTTTTTAAACGTGAGATGGCAAGCACCTTCAGCATTTTATTTTAAGTCTTCATATAAATAAAAACGACCAATTAAAAGGCGTCGCCTTGAACCCATATGGTTTAGGTGTAAAATTAAATATAGTTTTTTTCTTCTTTTCTAC